TCAAACGGTATTTCTAGTTCTAGATCCTTGAGGAATCGCCACACGGTCTTCCACAATGGTTGAACTAGTTTACAGTCCCACCAACAGTGTAAAAGCGTTCCTGTTTCTCCACATCCTCTCCAGCACCTCCTGTTTCCTGACTTTTTAATGATCGCCATTCTAACTGGTGTGAGATGGTATCTCACTGTGGTTTTGATTTGCAAGAAAATTATTCTTCATTCATGTTTGAAACAAACAAGTTTCTTATTTGTTCACCTAATAAAATAGACTCTTGGTTATCAAGTCTTTATTGCTCACAAATTAGGGAAATCACAAGAAAAAACTAATTGATACTTTCCAAAGGAAATAACTTTTATGAAGCCTGAAAGCAGAATTTTAAAATTTAAAATGCCAGCATATTAATTGTTCTTATCCTAGACAAAAAACTGAAGCTAGTATGTGTTGCTTGAGGAGTTTTGTTTAACAAAACCACAGTGCATTATAAATGCACTGTGTATAAGTGACAATTAAGTGATATTACCTACTTTTTATTTCATTTCTCCATCATGTTCTGACACAATCTTTTATTAAGGTGAGACTGCTACAATCAGATAAACTTACCTCTTGCCCATATAATTTTCTGCTGCTCCAAAGTATGTCATCAAAGAAAGCAAAATACGACAAGGTTAATAGTGTGTTTACTAGACAGCAACTATAGCATTATGAATGCTCAATTAATGTTTAGACTACATTAGTGCACTTCATAGGAAATGTATGATATTGGAAAACATAATGTACACTATTCAGAAGCAGTTCTTTTTCACTAAAGAAAAATGTGTTGGCAACTGCTCCGTTTCCATGGATTTATGATTCTAATAGGTCCTGAAAATATAGCCCAATCCTTGCCAAAATCTCACTTGTGCTTTATATCAGTAACATGCCCTCTATCCCTGCTTATGCATTTGAGAAACAGAAAAACAACACAATTCGTTAAAAATCCGCTAATTAGAACTCCAGAGAACTGATTTAGGGGAGGGGAAGATGTATGGGAGCTGACACCTAACTTATTTTATTTTTATGGAAAAAAGAAAATTGCACAAAATTATGTGAAATTGAAAAAAGAAGTAAACATTTTCCAGAATATGTTTGAAAGTGTATAGTTCAAATTTAAACTGTTTTTTTTTTTAACATTTAATGGTATTAAATCACTTCAGGAGAACTCAATCAGCAAGAAGGATACAATTCTCTCCAATGTTCTACTTACAGAGAGAAGCATATTGTACATTTAATTCTTAAATTCTGGTACCTGCAATACAAAGAGGAACTGGGAGATTTAACCCCTAGTTAACTAAAAACTCAAATCAACAGACCCGGGGCAGTGGCTCACACCTGTAATCCCAGCACTTTGGGAGGCCAAGGCAGGTGGATTACTTGAGGTCAGGAGTCCGAGACCATCCTGACCAACATGGTGAAACCCTGTCTCTACTAAAAATATAAAAATTAACCGGGCCTGGTGATGCACACCTGTAGTTCCAGCTACTTGGGAGGCTGAGGCAGGAGAATTGCCTGAACCCGGGAGGCGGAGGCTGCAGTGAGCTGAGATCGTACCACTGCATTCCAGCCTGGGCAACAAAGCAAGATTCTGTCTCAAAAACAATTGTCAACTTGAACCCCATTCCTTAAATAACTGGGTCTTAACCTTAGCTGCATGTTAGCATGATCTAGGCACCAAATTCTTAATGCTCAGGTCCCACTCCAGACCAATTAAATCAGAATTACTGCTATTTAAAGAAAGAAAAACAAAAACTCCACAGGTGGTTCAATGTGCTGCCTAGATTGCTATCCACCACCTGGGATACTATAGTTATTTTAAGTTTTAAACCAGATTAGCTTAAGTCACAAATTAAATCTCTACTGCTGCATAAAAGCATATTTGCTAAGTGACCTTTAATTTTACCAGAGGAGTAGAAAAAGAATGAAATCCAAATGCCTGGTTAACATTATATATGATGGTCTTTTAATTCTGAGGTGGCCGTGTAATCCAGTTCTTGGCACTGAAATAGAAGGGAGACTCCTGCTGGGTCTTTTCCTTCTGGGATAAAAGGACAGAGCCCCACTGGGAGGAAAAAGTGGATTTCATTTCTTTCTCCACTTTTACTAGCCCTGAACTCTCAGATAAATACTGAAACTAAGGAGTACATCTTGCAATCAAAAAGCAGTGAGAGAATAAAAAGTCAACATGTTGAGGATGGTGGTAGAACAGAGACTGGAAGAGCTTGGGTCTTTGATGACATTGTTGTGCCATTGAACCACAACCACCAACTACCTTCCACATTTTTAAGAAAATGATTGCTTAAGCCACCATTAGCTGAGCTTTCCGTTACATGAAGTCAAATGTATTTCTTTTCTTTTTTCTTTTTTTTTTTTTTTTTTGAGACAGAGTCTCCCTCTGTCACCCAGGCTGGAGTACAGTGGCACAGTCTCCACTCACTGCACCTCCGCCTCTCCAGTTCAAGTGATTCTCCGTGCTTCAGCCTCTGGAGTAGCAGGGAGTATAGGCATGCACTACCACACCCGACTAATTTTTGTATTTTTGTAGAGATGGGTTTTCACCATGTTAGCCAGGCTGGCCTTGAATTCCTGGCCTCAGGTGATCCGCCTGCCTCGGCCTCCCAAAGTGCTGGGATTGCAGGTGTGAGCCACAGCGCCTGGCCCTAAAGTATTTCGGATGGGTACACCTTAGTTCTCTCTTAAGCAACGAATCACTCAACATTTACTATTGGCTAAGAACTTTAAGATATTATCACCTTTAAGCCTCACAGCAACTCCAGAAACAAGTGTTGTTATTCCCATTTTGCATATGCAGAAACTGAGGCCCATACAAGTTAACTATCTTGTCCTCGGCCATACAGAAGTTAGACTTTAAGCCAGGTTCCTTTGATTCTAATCTCAGTGCTCTTCAGTGCATTGCTATAGTACTGTTATTAACCTCTTGGATGTGTGCAAGTCTAGTTGCTCTAATTAAATTGTGTATCATGCAAGAAGAGCATGTTAGGCTTGTAGGAGTACACCTAATGGTCTACATTTAGGTCAATAGATATTTGAAGAATTAATGGGTTTGCTTGACAAAATAAAAAAATTACAGGATAAACTTTTTTTGTGCTGTTCTGCAAAACCACACGATGCTTTAAATTCACTCCACAAAAAAAAAAAAAAAAAAAAAATCAATCCACTTTCACACAAGACTTGATAAAAACGTTTTTATTAATAATCAAGGGCTTTGGTATGTGATAACATTTTTTTTTCCCTCCCTGGTTAAAAGGCAAATAAATAGTAGGGTTTTGGTGTAGATGCTTAAGGCAACTATATGGACCTATCTTCAAGGATATGGGGTGCTGCTATCTGTCGAGTTGAAAAGACAAACATACCCCTTCCCAGGGTTGTGTGACAGGGTGTATTTTGTGATTTTTTTTTTCTTGCTTTTTGGCCAGCATTTACTCTTCAGGTGTTTCAAGGTGTCTGATATCCCCACTACTATGCTATTTGCCCAAAAGGCACTGCTGCAATTCCTGTTCCGTATTCTCTTAGCATTTACTGAATTATTGAAAGCAGTACAGAGGCAGCCACGTTGAGTTTAGAGTCAGGCTCACTGGACCAAAGCTACTATGTTTTGCCTTTCTCTGTAAAATGAGAAAAGACCTATTTAAAACTGTTCTTAGGAGACTTAAGTGAGCTGAAATGTAAACAAACTAGTAACAGTTAACGTAGACAACAAGAAATTATCAAATATCTGTGTGCTGAATAGTGAGATAAGTGCCTGGAAAGTAATGATGGCCCCTGTCATCAAGAAGCATACAGTCTACTAAATTGCCAGTTTCAACTCTAACTCCTTAGTGGCCAGAAAACGGAGTAAGTTGGAGGATAGTAAAATCTGAAGTCTGGCACCTGGGATCAAGTGCCAGTTCTCAACTTTCCCGATGTAGTGGGTTGAATAATCTCCAAAAGTATGTCTATGTCCTAACTCCCAGGACATGTGAAAGTGACCTTATTTGGGAAAAGGGCCTTTGCAGATGTTATTAAGGACCTCCAGATGAGATGATCTTGGATTATCCCCGTGGACTCTAAATTCAATGTTCAGTGTCCTAAAAACACAGAGAGTTGACACAGGCACAGGAGAAGGCCATTAGAAGACAGGCAGAGATTGGAGTCATGCAACAACAAGCCACGGACCGCCTGGAACCATCAGAAGCTGAAGAAGCAAAGGATTCTCCCCTAAAGCCTTGAAAAGGTGCAGGGCTCTGCTAACAGCTTGATTTTGGAATTCTTGCCTCTAGAACTGTTAAGAATAAAATCCTGTTGTCTGACACGACCAAGTTTGTAGTATCAGTTTATTCATCTGGAAAATGGGGCATATATCCTAACCACAATCTTAATTCCTTTAGTATAAAGTGGAATAACAGCACTTTCCAGGCACGAGCAGACATTAAAAATAGCAAACATTTACTGAAAGCGTCCCATGCTAAGCGCTTTGCACGTGTAACTTAATTATTTCTATTTTATTGATCAGGAAGCCAAGGCTCAGAAAAATTTTGTAATTTTCCCAGAGCCACACAGTTAGCAAGTGGAAAAAACGGGATTACAATTCAAACCGATTCACAAGATACCCCTTTTATCCTCCACGCTGGACTGCTCAGGAAGTATGCAAATTAACACACTTTAGAAACTTTAGCTACTTCAATATTTGTTCAGGCTACGGGATTCAGGCCTCCTATTAACCGCGCCGGCCAAGTCTCTCCTTAAGCAGCCTGTTCGACCTCGCCAGAGATCTCCCTTTCTTTCCAGCACGGAAGCGACAGGGTTAATGACGTCATTTTCCCGTGACCGTTGTCGCGTCCTCTGCCCGACGGATCCTTTCAAGGGCCAAAATCCTCGCTCCTCAAGAGGCGGCATAACAGCAGCGGACCAATAGAAACTCCGAATTTTTGTATTGTCTGGTAAGCTCCACCTCTTAGTCACTGATCCGCCGCGGAAGATGAAAAAAAGCGGCCCGGGGGCGGAGCAAGGCAAGGAAGCGGAAGCGGAGCCGCGGTCGGGATCCGCTGCGCCAGCTTCCTGTGTCCCACGTGTGCGGTGAGTGTGGCAGGCTCAGCCGTTGCTTCTAGGAGGGGTTCGCACCCTGCCGGGCGCTGGAAGTCGGAAAGGTCTCTCGGGGCTGTTGTCCACTGGGCAGTCTCCTGTGGCCTCTTTCTGGGTTAGGAGTTTGGGACTGATTGGAACCTGGCAAGGAGGGCGGAGCTCCGACCTCTCTCCCGCCACGTTGCCTTGCGTGCTGGGTTTGATTGGACTAGCTTCACTCCAGAATCCCAGCCCGTGCTCGCCCTGATCAGCCTGTCTGTGCTGTTTCACAAACACCAACTCCAGTGCTAGGTGGTGTGCCGGAGTGTACGCAGATTATAAGTGCTGGGAGGAAACGAACTGGAAGCTGAGTTGAGAGATAGTGGAATCTGAAGAAGTGATCTTTAAGCGGAGATCTAAAGCATGGCGGGAGGCCACCCGGAGATCTGGAAGCTCAGGGAGTACTTCAAGCAGAGGCAATAATGGGCTAAGTCCCTGAGGTGGGAGCTAGGAAGGAGTACAGTTAGAGTACAAGATAAAGTTAGAGGGATAGTGTGGAACTAGGTTCTGTAGGGCCTTGAAGGCCATGATGGGGATTTTTTTTTTTCTATACAGTAGGAAAACATTTCCGTTGCTATTACCATGTGTAGAAAACATTGAAGGCTTATAAGCAAGTGAGAATAATGAATAGGCCCTGGTTCTCTTTAGAAGATGTATTTAATTTGGAAGCTCAAGAGATTGTATTGATAATAGTTTACATTAGGGTGGTGACTTAAGGGGCATTTAAGAGAACTAACTTATGGTTCAGTGTGGCAAACGAGAGAGGAAAATGTCAAGGGTAACTCGTTTCTTACTTGAGCAGTAAAATAGATGATGTGCCATTGGCTGAGATGGGGGACAGTGGGGCAGAGAAAAATAGTATCTTGTTGTCTGTGGGACAGACAGCAGTAACATAGAGAACAACATAGGAGAATTATGTTTTGGACATATTAAGGGTAAGGTGCGTGTTAGACACATAATTAGAGGTATCAGATAAGCAGTTATACACAAGTTTGGAGCCCAAGGAGAAGTTCATAATGGAGACATGATTTGGGAGAACTCAGCATAAAAAGCCAGGAGATTGGATAAGACCATCTAGGGAGAAGTGTGGAGAGAGAAGGGACGTTCCCTAGGACAAAGATTTGAGGAATGCTGACATTTAGAGGTTGGTCTATAAGAAAATGTCATTTCAACTGACTTTGAAGGATGGATAGGAATTGTGCTGGCAGAGAGAATGGCTTTATACTTCACTATTCAGATAAAGAATAATGAGAAAGATTGACTCCTGTGTGGTGTTGATGAGTGGAGTGAATTAAGACCACATTTTGAATGGCTGTGAATGCCTGAGTTGGAACTTTTTCCTGAAGGCAGTGGGAAAGCTTGGAAGCTATTGGAGCATGGAAATGACATGAAATAGGTGTGCTAGTGGAAGGTTAATCAGGCAGCAGAAAGTGGATCAAAGCAGATTGGATCTAAATAAAACTGAGCAAGAGCTAACAGGAACCAGAATGGGGCAATAGAGGGAAAGGAAAAAGAGGGGCCAATTCTGAGAGACACTGTGGAATGTGATGATTGATTATGAAGATACAGCGTCCCTGAGCAAAGCAAATTGCATTTTGCCGAGTGCAAGAAGCAAGACCCAAAAAGATATATTGTATGATTCCATGTATATGAATGACATTCTGGAAAAGACAAAATAGGCATGAAAACCTAATCATTGGCAGTCAGGGAAGAGGGAAGGAGTTGATTACGAAGGAGGTGTACCAAGGGACTTTCTAGAGTGACAAGACTTTTCTGTAAGATACTGTGGTAGAAGATGCATGACTCTTAGCCATTTGTTGAAGCCCATAGAATTATACACTAGAAAGAGTAAACTTGACTGTATGCACATTTAATAAATCTGCCAGCATTTCTGGGGATGGAATGCAGACTGTGACAAATCAATTAAGCTATATTATAAACATGTAACTTCACTAAAGAGAGTGAGGGACTGAAGGGCTGATCTAAGTAGCTTTTTTTTTGCCTGCAGCAGTAATTGCTACAGGCAGAATCCACTGACTTGAGTGCTAAAGTTAGCAGGTAAAACTTAAGAGGAGGTAGGATGTCTACATATTCTCCAAACATCTTGTCTAAAATGTTTATTAATTGCTATGGTAGTTTAACATTTGAAACAGAGTCTCACTCTGTTGCCCTGGCTGGAGTGTAGTGGCACAATCTCAGCTCGCTGCAGCCTCCACCTCCTGGGTTCAGGTGATTCTCCTGCCTCGGCCCCCAGTAGCTGGGATTACATGCGTGCACCACCACCACGCCCAGCTAATTTTTTTTATTTTTAGTAGAGACAGAGTTTGGTCTTGAACTCCTGACCTCAGATGTAATCCACTGGCCTCAGCCTCCCAAAGTGCTGGGATTACAGGTGTGAGCCACCATGCAAGCCTCTAAGTAACTCTGGAAAAGTGTTTCGAATGGATACAAAAAAGAATTGTACATCAACACTGTACCGTCATTGTAAATTTATTTCTCATGGGGTACAGGTTAGCAGTTCTGAAAGTATACATGTATAGTAGGGTTGAACATAAGTATAAATAAATTGTAGATGATGGGAAGCAGGTTGCTCACTGTCAGAGAAAGAACTTACAAATGAGCAAGAGGAGATGCCTAGAATAAAATCTGTGGTGCTTGATTAGATTTGGAAACATTAGTATGAGCTTCATGTTATTTTAATAGATATAAAAATAAATATAGGTATGTGCATATGCATAGGTTAATGTACATGTGTGTGTTTCCTGAATTTGTCTGCTGAAGGGACGTAGAAACAGGGACACCTCAGTGACAAGCACACCTAGCACTCAGATCTTGGCTTTTAAATACCATTCTTAATGAAAGGAACCAGGATTCCTTGGAGAAGTGGCTAATTTCAGGTCTAGTTTAAGGAAAATACAGAATGAACCTGGAGCTAATGCCACGAAATAAGGGTGTGCTTTAAAAAACAAAACAAAACAGATAGGCCATGTCAAGAGGACACAGAAGCAACCTGAAAAACTTCCCACTGGCTGGAGCTAGAATTATTTGAGCAACAAAATAACAATGGTAGTGGATTATAACCAAGGAATGAAATAAATATCTGAGACTATATAAGTAAACAGAAAAGATGGGACAAGTCTTCCCTACAGAAAAGTGCAGAATAACAAAGGTAAAAGTAATAAGGGAAACAGAAGATCACCATTTAAACGCAGTAATTGCTGCAGCCAAAATCCACCGACAAATGCTAAAGTTAGCAAGTAAAACTTATGAGGACGTAGGATGTCTACATGTTCTCCAAACATCTTGTCTAAAATATTTATTAATTGCTGTGGTAGTTTAACATATGCCTGGATTCTTTAGTACCCCTCCTTCTGGGAAGTGGAGCTTAATTTTCCTCTGAGTTTGGGCTGGACTTGGTGGCTTGGATCTAATAAAGATGGAAAGGTTAAAGTGGCAACTTTACAGTGGAGAAACCTGGAAAACACTACTTTGACCGAGTGAACATGGTTAACATAAACAGTAATAAGTCATATTAATGTCATGTACCTCCTGGTAGAGTACTACCAGAAGAAAGCTTGATCTCTGGTAGTCTTCCAAAAAATGTGTAGCCTTAGCCTAATTATGAGAAAACATCAGGCAAACCCCAAATGAGGAATATTCTACAAAATACAAAGGAAAGTCGATGGCCAGAATCAGTGTATCCTGGTACAGAAAGAGGATGTTAGTGGAAAAACTGGTAAACTCCAACTCAACTCTGTAGCTTAGTTAATAGTATTGTATGTTAACATTAGGGGAAGCTGGGAAAGGGGTATATGTGAACTGTGTATCTTTTCAACTCTTTTGTAAAGCTAAAATTATTTCAATATAAAAATTAGAACAAACATATAGAGAAAACATGTAAATGAATGGATTCTTAGAAAACTACATGGCATAGAAGAGCTAAGAGATGCAGGTATTGTTATTGAGAAGTGATAATGTGCTAGCAGCCCCCACTCTCAGCGCCTCCTGGGCCTTGGCGTCCACTCTGGCTGCGCTTGAGGAGCCCTTCAGCCTGCCACGGCACCGTGGGAGCCCCCCCTCTGGGCTGGCTGAGGCCAGAGCCGCCTCCCTCTGCTTGCTGGGAGGTGTGGAGGGAGAGGCGTGGGCGGGAACCGGGGCTGCGCACTGCATGCTAGCCAGCCAGCACGAGTTCCGGTGGGCGCCGGCGCAGGCTTAGCGGCCCCGCACATGGAGCGGCCGGCCGGCTCCACCAGCCCAGGGCAGTGAGGGGCTTAGCACCCGGGCCAGCAGCTGTGGAGGAAGTTGCGCCGGGTCCCTCAGCAGTGTGACCGGTCGGCGCTGCACTCAAATTCTCGCAGGATTTAGCTGCTTCCCCACGGGGCAGGGCTCGGGACCTGCAGCCCATTGTGTCTGAGCCCCCGACCCCACCGCGGTGGACTCCCGCGCGGCCGGAGCCTCCCCGATGGGCGCCACCCCCTGCTCCCTAGCGCCCGGTCCCTTCGACAGCCCAAGGGCTGAGGAGTGCAAGTGCGGCTAGGGATTGGTGGACAGGTCTGCCTGCAGCCCCCCCCGCCCCCGTCCCCGTCCCCCATGCAGGATCCACTGGGTGAAGCCAGCTGGGCTCCTGAACTGGATGGGAACTTGGAGAACTTCTATATCTAGCCGGAGGATCGATCGTGTGTGCACCAATTAGCACTCTGTGTCTAGCTTAGGGTTTGTGAATACACCAATCAGCACTCTCTGTCTGGCTCAGGATTTGTGAACACAACAGTTGGTACTCTGTGTCTAGCTAACCTAGTGGAGACTTGGAGGACTAGCACTCTGTGACTCTGTGCCCAGCTCAAGGGTTGTAAATGCACCAGTCAGCACTCTGTGTCTAGCTCAGGGTTTGTGAATCCACCAATTGGTACTCTAGATAACCTAGTGGAGACTTGGAGAACTAGCGCTCTGTGACTCTGTGTCTAGCTCAAGGATTGTAAATGCACCAATCAGCACTCTTTGTCTAGCTCAGGGTTTGTAAATACACCAATCAGCACTCGTGTCTAGCTCAAGGTTTGTAAATACACCAATTGGTACTCTGTATCTAGCTAACTCTGTATCTAGCTAACTAGCACTCTGTGACTCTGTCTAGCTCAAGGATTGTAAACGTACCAATCAGCACTCTGTCAAAAGGAACCAATTAGCTCTCTGTAAAATAGACCAATCAGCTTTCTGTAAAATGGACCATTCAGCAGGATGTGGGTGGGGCCAGATAAGGGAATAAAAGCCTTCTGCCCCAGCCAGCGGCAACCCGCTGGGGTCTTTTTATACACTGTGGTAGCTTTGTTCTTTGGCTCTTTGCAATAAATCTTGCTGCTGCTCACTCTTTGGGTCCACGCTGCCTTTATGAGCTATAACACTGACTGCGAAGGTCTACAGCTTCACTCCTGAAGCCAGCCAGACCACTGGGAAGAATGAACAACTCCAGACGCGCTGCCTTTAAGAGCTGTAACACCCACCACGAAGCTTCACTCCTGACAGCCAGACCACCCACCAGAAGGAATACGCTCCAGACACATCTGAACGTCTGAAGGAACAAACTCAGGACACACCATCTTTAAGAACTGTAACACCACAAGGGTCTGAGGCTTCATTCTTGAAGTCAGTGAGGCCAAGGACCCACCAATTCCGGACACGTTATTATGGTCATAGCTAAGTAATAATGTGACCCTTCAGTTCTAAATGCCCCAAGGAAGCCGAGTAATTCGAGGGCTGTCCATTTTTCAAAATCGTTAGAAAAGTCTAGGTTAGAACAGCGCTTTCCAGAATACTCTTTGGAACTCTGCTGTTCCCTTGTGATGTTCCAGGAAAAAGTGGTTCAACTGGAGTTGGAAAATCCTGCATCCTTTTAGCCTTTGCTTGACAATTGATCGTTTATGTTAGCAAATTAAAGAATCTGAAAAGCCTTTTCTTACAGACTGATTGTTGTCATGTAAGTTACTGTTTCCCAAATATATTTTATCCCTGAACCCTTCTTTTCTATTATGCTAATATCCTGAGAAATTAGTTATTGAATGGGCAATTCTAATCTAGAAATATCTAGTGTTGTCTGGGGATCGCTAACATCTGTTGTTTAGAGTCAGCTTTCAAATGAGTTGATCGTCCAACTTTGGAAAATGGAGAAATGAGCCAAATGGCTTTTGCTCTTGATCTGTTCTGCTGCTTTCAGGGACCTTGGGTAGGTGAGGGGTTATAACTTGTTTATCCTGTGCACCATGGTGTCTCAGTAGCCTGTAAAGCGCCTATTAGACAGATTCCTTTCAATGAAATATTAACTATTTCAACATGATCTTATTTTGGAGTTCACTGCCAATTATTTGGCTGCCTCTAAAACAATCACAAATTAAACACTGGATGCCAATCTTTGTTTTAGCTATGTTGGATCACATAGGAATCTTTCAGATAATCCTTTATTTTCTTATATTAAATGCATGTAGTGGTATATGCAGCCTATTGTTTGTTCCTGGCTTTTAGGCTCCAAGAAATCAAGAGATAATTTTGTCAGTTACTCATCCTCTAGTCTTCTCAGGTTACAAAATGCAAACTCTGATGCTTATTATGCTTAGTGACAATCGTGGTCTATTTTTAGCCAGTACTATTGTGGAAGTGAAGTGTTGCCTCCAGATATATCAAACACTGGCCAGGGTGTGTATTGTTCCCAGTTTTTTTATTGATACCTTGTTCATTTTCAGTTTTAAAATCTGAGGCAGTGATTGCATAATTGCTGGATTTAAGTAGTTGCCCATTCTATATCTGGGTGATTTGTATTGTATTTGTAGACTGAAGGACTAAATGCGGCAATGACTATGTAACAGCTCTTATTTGATGAAGAGAACTGCAGTGATTGTTTTCGTTTTGGTTTTCTAGAGTTGCTACAATGGAAGTCAAAGGGAAAAAGCAATTTACAGGAAAGAGTACAAAGACATCACAAGAAAAAAACAGATTTCATAAAAATAGTGGTAAGATATGCTTCCCATGTGGGTGTTTGGCTATTATGATTGGGGGATGGGAGGGCAGGTAGTAAATTTCAATCTGTATTCATTGGCTAGGATTAGGATTAAAATAGTAGGAAGAAGTATGTGTTATTGTGTATGAGTTAACATGTTGCTCATGACATTTAGACACTTAAGAAATTGCCAGAATAATTGAGGAATGCCTTACTCATGAAAGACTCCTTATCTCAGTTGTTACTGCTGTTGCGTCATTCACACTAGTTCACCATACGTTTTATTTTAACATTTGATAAATTAGGACTGTTTAATACATACTGCTCGTAAGCCAAATACTTTTAGGTTCAGAATTTATAATGGTGATGTCTTTATTATTCCATCAGGTGTCAGTATTGTAAAATAGAAAAGTCAGGGAACTATACAAATGACTATTTCCTTAAAATATAGCCATTGCTGTTTGTATCTCATTTGTAAGGTACTAATTTGTAAACCTTCTTGACTAAAAGTTTTTATTAAATAATTTTATTGTAGGCTTTAAAATTTTATTTTCTTAAAACTAGAAAATTTTAAAATTAACATTTTAGATGTCCTTATGTTATGCTTTCCAAGTTTCAAGAATGTTCATTTTATTCTTAGACTTCTTTTATGTTATTGAACTCTTGAAAATTCTGTGTAGACCATCATTAAAGCAGAATACAAAAGAATATAAATAATAGCTCTGCTATATGCTTAAAACTAGAGAAACATACCAAAGTGACACCAGTGTTTATCTCTAGTGGCAGAATCATGGGTAGCTTTTGTTTTACATTTCTGTACTCGCTAGGGTTTTTTTGTTTTTGTTTTTGTTTTTGTTTTTTGTCATGAACCTGTATTAGTTTTATAATCAAGGAAATAATTTTTAAATTTTGTTTTGATTATTTAAATCCAGTTCTACTCAAAAGGCTGCATGTCGCATATCTGAGAGTAAGACAAGGTATTAGGATTAAAGAGTGTAATTTTCTGTAATGAATATAATCCCATGGATACAAGAGATTTGGGCCCAGAATCATTGAACTTGTAATTATTATTGTCACTAGATTCTGGTTCTTCAAAGACATTTCCAAGAAAAGTTGCTAAAGAAGGTGGACCTAAAATTACATCTAGGAACTTTGAGAAAAGTATCACAAAACCTGGGAAAAAGGGTGTGAAGCAGTTCAAGAATAAGCAGCAAGGGGACAAATCACCAAAGAACAAATTCCAGCAGGCAAATAAATTCAACAAGAAGAGAAAATTCCAGCCAGATGGTAAAAGCGATGGTAAGTACTGATTTGTTCAGCATGGTCTTTGCAGATCCTTGCCCTGCCTGACCTAGTGCCTGAACCATTCATTGTGCACAGGGACTCTGGAGGTGCATTAGAGACCTCACATTCTTATTCCTTGGCAGGTAACGTTTTGGGACAGGTAGATGGCTTAAACAACAGAGCATCTTTCATGCTCAGAATTTCCCTCTGGTGCTTGGAGTTTTTTATTTCTTAGCCCTTTTCTGAATTACCTTAGCCATGAAGTTAAGCTGAATTATAATGGCTTTGTACAGTGGAACCTCAATAAAATGTTTCTTTCTATAAGCTAAAATTGATTCATTCATTCAACGAGTATTTGAGTTTTCTATGCATTGCACCAGAAGATAGGGCAAAACACACACACACACACACACACACGCACGCACACAAAATCAATCAGTAAGGATACAGGCCCCAACTAATCATCATAGAATCTGGCTTTAAAGAATCAGTCTGTCCCCAGCTAAGTGTCATCCTTGATTAAGGATGCTTTGGTGAGCAAGAAACATACAGACCCTGCCTTCACAGAGCTTAGGCCATACTAATACAATAAGCCATCTGATCGCACAGATCCATAGTAGTTCCGGAGAAGGTGTCGTGCACACATGACAGATTTGATTTTAATTGGTTCAGCACACGTTGCTCACTGATTGGAGGTATTGGCAGGTCTCCTGCTTGTCTGTTGAAACAAACTGCCCGTCTCTGTGACGATGTTCAGTGTTCATTTCTAACCCAGAGCTTTGCTCTCTATTGTATAACATTCCTCTGTTGTGCATTGTCCTGCATTGATCTCAAACTAGCAGTTTCTAGGTTTTGTGGATTGTCATATTATTACTTCCTTTGCAACATCCTGAGAATTTTTCTGGTGCCTTTTATTCTCTTTTTCTCAAGCACAGCATGTCTTAACACTGCTCCTTTGTTGCCAGCTGAGACCACTGGGGATGGTTTTCTCAGTGCCATCCCCTAGTCCTGGTGCTTGCTTTTTACCCTGCCTAAGGGCTGCTTACCAGAGGGACAGCAGCCTTAAGACGGAGGTAGGGAGAGAGGAAGGAGGGGAAGTGCCGTTGTTTGCCATTAGGGCTGTAAGATCTTTTCATGCTCCAGTCTCGCTCTTCTCTTTTCATTTTTTCTTTCTCCCTTCTCTTCCTCCTCCCCCATTGCCAGTAGTTTCTCTTCTAGCTCTCTTTTATACTTTCTCTTACCTAGCCTCTCTAACAGATCCCAAATCTTACTTCTCTCTAGTGGAGTTTTTGATGCCTGCATTTTAAACACATATACAGTAATTTCTCACATTGATGTGAGAAAAGCCGTGATTTCTTTTGCTCTGGGAGATATGTTCCTGATATCTCAAAATGGGACTCTTTGATTTCATTTTCTCATATTTTTGTATCAGTAACTAGACTGATAGAATAAGATGAGAGATTGGATACTAGACAACCCCCACATTGATAAATGTATTGCAGCCTAACATGACATATGTTAAGGGTACTCAAATATTTATGGAATTAAATTAGCCCTGGATCAGAATATCCTCTATTGTATAGTAGAGGATATCATGTTAATATAATGGTAAATACGCCCTCTGTTGCCTATAATCTTTTGTATTACCAGGCAGGGAATATATAAGTAAACAATAAGGGAATAATAAATACATTGTAGTATATTGGATAGCCATTAGAAATTATGTTATTGAGGAATGTTAATTTCATGAGAAAACATAATCATGTTAAGTGAAGGCAGATTCTGAATTTTTTTCTTTTTTGAGATAGGGTCTTATTTTGTTGCCCAGACTGTGAAGTGCAATGGCATGATGATGGCTCACTGCGTCCTCAACCTCCTGGACTCAAGTGATCCTCCTGCCTCAGCCTCCCAAGTAGCTGGAACTGCAGGCGTGTACCACCACATCGGCTAATTTTTTAATTTAATTTTTTTCGTGAAGACGGGGTCTCACTATTTCGCCCAGGCTGGTCTCAAACTCCTGGCCTCAAGTGATTCTTCTTCCTCAGCCTTCCAAAGTGCTGGGATTACAGGCATGAGCCCGGCCACATTCTGAGTTTTTAAAGATTAAAACATGCATGGAGAAAAAGTAAGAGGAAAATAATCAGTGGTTATAACAAGGTTTTGATTTTATAGGGCTTTTTCTTTTCTTTTTTGCATTTTTCCCAGTTTTTTAAGAGAAAGGGAGATAGTTAGAAGTGACTAATTCCCCCAAAGGATTCCGTGCAGGATACTCATGTAAATAATACCCATTTTAATAAGTTATTCTTTGTTTGGCATCATTGGTTCCATTGGTAAGTTACTTGGATTTTGAAGACAAAAAAGTGGTGATAGAAAGATATTCGACTTTAATAGTATCACTGTTTGTGGCAAACTTGGAAATTTTGGTTGTTTATTGTCATGAGTAAGATAGCAGAGCGCTGTTTCTAGGTTTGAATCCTAATTCTAGCAGGTTGTGTGGCCTCAGATAGAGAACTCAACTGCTTGGTTCTTTTTCCCCACCATGGAAGGGAGGGTAATATTAATACCTACCTCTTGGAGTTGTTTTAAGAAATAAGTGACTTAATATACAACAGCACTCAGAACAGTGAATTTTCGAAGTTGTTTTTCCTGTTTTCATTTGGACTAATTTTTGTTTTCATTGAAAGTTGATTATACCCTAAGTTCAATGATCTTAATCTTAAAAAGTAGAATTTTATTTCACAATTGAAAAAGATATTTAAAATATTTTACTTTTGTAATTCTTTTAATGTCCTTTTCTCTTAATAGGTATCCTGTTAGAAGAATTAACGATTTCAATGTAACCAAATGTAAAATGTACAAACTGCTCAGAAAGCAAAGTATATATGGGGAATGGTGTGTTCCCCTTTCTAGCTTCCAGAATGAGCATTGATCCTGATTAGTGATTGCCCTTTATACCTAATTTGTGTTGGTTTATGACACTTAGAATGTTAAATGTAATTGAAAATAATTTCTATAATAACTAGAATCAGCAGCCAAGAAACCTAAATGGGATGACTTCAAAAAGAAGAAGAAAGAACTGAAGCAAAGCAGACAACTCAGTGATAAAACCAACTATGACACTGTTGTTCGGGCAAAGCAGATTTGGGAGATTTTAAGAAGGTAATTCTACTTAAAGATGTCTTTGTTAGTCCCTTTGCGACAGTGGAGAAGTCAGTGTACCTTGTAAATAGTGAGATGTCCTAAAATAAATGACGTAGCACTTGGGTTATTGAGGGAGTCCTCATGACACCCCAGTAGAGACATCAGTACTTGGATGTCTGCCCATTGCAGAAGTGTGTAGAATCATTACGATGGCATCGGATATGCTTATGAAAATGTATGAGGTTGAAATAAATTTGACATTCTTCCTGAGAGATTTCTGAGAAAATGAAGGATAATTTCTTATCAGCTAGGTTTTGAGATATTTCAGTATTTGTTATCTTAGATTTGTTTCATTATTTTTTTTTTACTTCTGAAGTTCTGGCTGTTAAGATTTGGATTGATACATAAAATTACACCTTTTGAGATGAGTTTCTGCCTTTGAGAAAATTACTTTTGTCTGGCAGCTCTGGAATAGTAATTTTAATGTCAGAGGTTTGCTGCTGTAGAAAAGAAAATCATGCTGAACTTGGAGAACATATACTGGTATGGTTTTTAATTTTGTGTGTTTAAAATAACTTCTTTACTTAAACTGTTTCCTTTTCTCATTTGTAGAAAAGACTGTGACAAAGAAAAAAGAGTAAAGTTAATGAGTGATTTGCAGAAGTTGATTCAAGGGAAAATTAAAACTGTAAGTAGGACATAGTCACTGTTGCAGTTTTAAACGATTGAAATTGCCTCTCTCAGGAGTAGCTGACCATTCATGACAGGTGATCCTGTCGTTGTTTCTGGTGTATTTGACCAAAAGTTTTAAATACCTTCCATAACACTGAACTACATAAAAATTTAAAAGTGAGAGACCTTACTGCTGGAGAGTTTTGCAAAGATTATTAGTTGGCTGTGTGATTTTTTAATAATTCTTAAAATAAGCCGGTGTTCTCTTAAAGTTATGTTGAGAAGTTATTAGTTCAGTAGTATTTGTTTAAATGTCTTGTTCTAAACTCCATATAATTTAGTATGTTCTCAGTTGCCAACTGTTTTATATTTGTGATGTGAACATATTACTTCTTTCTTTTCCTCCATGCTTTTGTAAACATCTTGCAAAGATCTTTAACTAAAATATAATCATTTGAGAATTCTAAAGTAGTTTTCATTGTTGATGCTTAATCCGGTTTTGTAATAAATTTCCAGTGACTCTTGTGCATTTGGATTAATACATAATGGCTTGGAAGACAACAGATTCTCATAGTTTTACGGCACCTAGGGGGGCAGCGTTTGCCAAGTCAGATGTATAGGTCTAACCAGATGCTATATTACCTCTTGAAGGAAAATAGCAAGTCATCAGCTGCTGCTCTCTTATAAATTCAGCAGGATCTTTTTACAATAGAACTGGCCCCTCAGCTCCAGCAGTTTATAAATATTTCACTCAGGATTCTTTCTCAACTACCCTGAGGTCACAGCTGTGTGACCATGGTCTTAGAAGTGAGTTTGGTGTTCAAATCCTGGCTGGGCTGCTTAAAATATGTGTGCCTTTGAACAATAACAATAACCTATTTATTATTTACTATAGGTTAGGAATTGTGTTAACCAGGACATGCATTGTGTCATTTACCATATGTCATCATCCCTGTTATATATTTGATGTATTTGGGACTCAGAGAAGTGAAGATTCTTCCTTGGGGTAACAGAGGTAGCGAGTTCCTTCTCGTAACTTTGCTCCCCTTATCTGTAAAGTGGGAATAATGACAGCTCATTTTTATGGTTGCTTTGAGATATAAATAAGACCACTATGTTTAAGGCAGTTATGTTGGTTATATAATAGATGCTCAATATATACACAAAAACAGCCTTAATTTTTTAAAAGATATTCAGAGATGTCTTACAAATCTTGAAATTTATGACTTTGATGGAAGTATACACTCACCTTCTGATTTGTTGGAATTAAAAAACTTTTAAAGACAGAGTGAGCAACAAATAAGCACTGTTGAAGTAGACTGGTACTGTAACATAGTAAAAATAATTTTGCGTGATGGATGATTTGTGGAGGGTGCTCTAGAAAATTGACCAGTGGGTCCTTCCAGCAGTCGTGAGGAGGAATGGGTTAGAGAATCAGGTTCGAAACACAGCAACTCTTCTGGAAATATAACTGGATATATGTGCAGGAATTATCATGAAAATGTGACGAATGATTAGCTTATAATTGCCAGTGTGTATGGATATAGTTATATTTATTTCTTTAGGAAGACGTTTAGATTCATCTTACAGATATACTTCTGGTTGTCAAAGCCAAACATTCTTAGATCACTTATATAAAAGTCATAGGGTAATAGACCTTTTAAACAAATATTTCCCTTTTAGGGACAGTGACTATCAAAGAAATGAGAAGTTATAGTCTGTATAATCATCAGATAGGTTGGATTGGTTTGGTTTTAATTATAATGAGAGGAGTATTACAGAATGGTTTAATTTATCCTTGCCTCCATGTCATTATTAATGTACCTATCAAATATGGTAGGCCTCAAAACAAAAGAATGATGTTCTGGGTAATTAAAACAAGTAGTTCTCAGTAATCTAGGTTTGATTTTATCCATGAAGACTACCTTTTTTCTAACAAGAAATTCTAGAAGAGGTCACAATAAATTAATGAAAAGCATGACTTTCAAAAGAGAATTAGTCTAACTCAGACTTTTTCCTACAGATGGCATTTGCACATGATTCAACTCGTGTGATCCAGTGTTACATTCAGTATGGTAATGAAGAACAGAGAAAACAGGCTTTTGAAGAATTGCGAGGTATTTATTACATACTGAAGATTATGTTATCATTTGCAATAAGTCACTTGTTTTCTCTTAAAATACCCAAGACTGTCTAGAAAACAATTTTTGTTTAGGTGTGTCTTCTCCAGATCCTTTTTTGTTTTTATTTTTTCCTTGCCTGGGATAAATTGAGAATTATTTGTGTTTCCAGGATTGTGCATTTATTTAGTTCCTCCCTTTGTTTCCAGAGAACTGAAATGAGATCTCAAGTCATTGTAATGTATTTTTGTTTTTCAGATGATTTGGTTGAATTAAGTAAAGCCAAATATTCCAGAAATATTGTTAAGAAATTTCTCATGTATGGGTAAGTTGTTTTATTTATAAAATACGTTTTTTGTTTGTCTTTTGAAGGCATAGTTTCCAACTGTGCTCAGATGTGAAATAGGAAGTCTGTGGTCTTTATAAGTAATAGTAATGGCTCTCAGCAGATGCTTGTGTTGTTTCTAGAGAGTATCATCTTAAATACAATTATTGAAATTAATGTAGAATTATGGTACTGCCTTCATTCCTAAAAAGATACATGAGAGATGTCTTGCAAATCTCCTTGAAATGTATGACTTTGATGAAGGTATACCCTCACCTTCTGATTTGTTGGCATTCAAAAGATGCTGGGCCCCATTCTAAGTCCTCCCCCTCCACGTTTCCATCTTTTTGGCTGTTTCTCCATCTGTGTTCCTGTCTATATGTCTGTCTTCTTGTCATCCAGTAAACACAGTATATGCAGGGGGAGTTCAAGTGGGGACTTCCATCAAAAGAAGAGGCAGTTCTGTCACAAAGACAGAGTGAGCAACAAATAAGCACTTTTGAAGTAGACTGGTACTGTAGCATAGTAAAAATAATATTGCATGATGGATGACTTGTGAATGTTTATCTTGATCCTCTGGAAGAAGAGAGAATAATTAGCTTGTAATTAGCCACCAGTATTAAGAGGGTAGAGAGTGGGGAGGGGGTGGTGGGTGAGTAGACTGATACAAGGTTAGTGGGTTAGAAAATGTCAACGTGGGAGAATTTCCTAAATTAAGTGGAATTAGTACTTGTCTTGACCAATCTTTTTGAGTGTAACAATGTGCTAGAATATGATAATCAACAACAAAAAGTGTAATATATGCAGTTGACAAAATTTTCAAAAACATATTCCTAGCTATAGTTACCAGCTATTTGATTCTTTTAGGATATAGTTAAAATACTTGTGATTAAGTCCCATCTTCAAAAAGAATCTTAGAATATGATTTTCTATTTCCCTGAATCTTTTACTTTTATCTTTTTTCCTGCCATACTTTTTTTTTTTTCCAAGCAGAACAGTTTAATAGGAACTGACATTTATCGAGCATTTACTGTGTGCTAGCCCCAGCTTCTCAGTGCATGCTTGCTCATTTACTCCTCAGAGCAACACCGGTTGATGAGTTGGTCTTGGAGGAAGTAAGCTGTGTTTTATTGTCACCCAGCTTTCCCTTTCTATCATTTATTTTTTCCATGATTGTGTTGCGTTTAGAAGTAAACCACAGATTGCAGAGATAATCAGAAGTTTTAAAGGCCACGTGAGGAAGATGCTGCGGCATGCAGAAGCATCAGCCATCGTGGAGTATGCATACAATGACAAAGCCATTTTGGAGCAGAGGAACATGCTGACGGAAGAGCTTTATGGGAACACATTTCAACTTTACAAGGTGACATCTCCAGAAGTCTTTTTCTAGTATTTTTACTTTTTCTATATGCTCTTCCTTAACTTCCAGTGCCCTATTTTTAGAATGTATTATTTTTTACCTTGGCTGGTTCTTTAAGAGACCATCTTATGCCCTTGATTTTCCCTCATGCTTTATTTTGTCTCTGGTGTAGTAAGCAAGTGATCATACTTACGCTTCTCTTTCTCCAGAACATTGGCTTTAAATCCACTTCAAATCAACTTTTGTTCCTCTCCTAAGTGCTCTGTGTGTAGCGCTTCAGTACTTCTATTTTTACTGTCAGAGTGAGGGAGAAGACTCCCAATAGTTATCAAAGTTGTGTAAGCACCCCCAACCAGCTCTGGCTGAAGTGTGTTGGGCTCTGGTTGCTAGCTTCTCCTGTGTGTTCTCATGTACATGCATTGCCCTTCTTTGGATTGTATCTAGAGATGAAGGGGAGTAGAGAGACCTAACCTTGGATAGAGTGCAGGGATTGAATTTGAGAATAGTGAGCAGTGGGACTAGCTGGTTAAAGAATCTATTTCAAACCTTGGAACGTAAATGCTCACATTTTTCTGAAGGGATATGGATTGATTCCTGGGTTGCCTCCATTAGTCAGGTTCAATTCTTTGGTTGAATTTGTTGCTGTACTAATTTTGTTAACAGTTCATTTTATTTAATAGGAATAGCCAACTAATTAGAAAACACATGGTGGCAAGAATTTGTGACTTGACTACTTAATCTCATAATTAGGTGAGAGCTAAGTGCTTGGCAAGTAACTATTGACTGGTTAACTTAGTTGGTGTTTAGCCTGGCTCTTTAAATGCATTGATAGATATACAGACTGAGAATCAGCTAATCAGGTTACTCCACAAGGATATACAGCAGAGCTTTCATTATGTAAATGTGGGAAATCTTAAATTTGTTAAAACTTACTTTAAAATGACTGTAATTGCTTTTCTTTGTCCTGAAGTGAAAAAATGGATTAAATTTAGAGGAGTTTGATTTTTTCTTTTGTTGCAGTCAGCAGATCACCCAACTCTGGACAAAGTGTTAGAGGTACAGCCAGAAAAATTAGAGCTTATTATGGATGAAATGAAGCAGATTCTAACTCCAATGGCCCAAAAGTAAGAAAGTTGTTTTTGTTTTTTTCTTAACAAATGACATTCAAAGGAGGAAGGTTTTACATAACTGGTGCCCAGAAGAGGTAGATATTTCCTACTTACAAGTGTTAATCTGTCCTAAGTAAGAGTGCAAAAGTATTGGTTTGAAACCATTCTTGGTGCAAAAGGAGATTTCTTTTTCTGATATTGTACCCTATAAAATGGCAACTAGCATGCATTCGTGATTTATGAGCTTTTTTAAGCAATGAAACATTCTTCCCCAAATAAAATGTTACATGGAAGCCATGTATACTAAACAGTTTCACAGATATGATTTGTTACTCAAATTTGGTTGTAGGCAAGGTGCAGTGGCTCACGCCTATAATCCTAGCACTTTGAGGGACCAAGGTGGGAGTATCACTTGAGGCCAAGAGTTCAACACCAGCTGAGGCAATAGCAAGACCCCATCTCTATGAAAAAATAAGAAAATTAGCCAGGCTTTGTGGCATGTGTCTATAGTCTTGGCTACTCGGGAGGCTGAGAGGCAGGAGGCTCACTTGAGCCCAGGAGGTGAAGGCTGCAGTGAGCCATGGTTGTGCCAGCGCATTCCAGCCTAGGCAACAGATTGAGACCTTGCCTAAAAAAAAAAAAACAATTTTTTTCAAATGGATTGTAAGACTCAGAAGCCTGTGCCTGTGTCCTTCATGGCATCTGTCCCGTAGTGGAGTGGCTGAGCATAGCTTTTGGGACCCGATTGCCTGGGTACAACTCCTGGTTCCCCACTCCCCCCACTAACTGTGTAACCTTCAGCAACTTAACCTGTCTGTGCCTCAGTTACCATATCTGTAAAACTGGGATAATAATAGTACAGACTTCATAGGAATTTTATGAAGATTAAATGGGTTAGTTGTTCCAAAACATTCAGAACAGTGTTTTACCCATAAAGGCAGTGTTAGTTTTTGCCGTATACTTGGATATCGCCTGTGAACTTAGGTCTTTGATGCCTGACCATCACCCTCCACTGTACACCTAGATCCACCAAGTGTCACACTAGGGGGTTTGGATTAAGTAGGTGTTGTTGCAATTGCTGACAATGTTTGGTTCATTCAAGTTTTAATTTTGCTAAAATTATTTTGTGAAACAGATGGATTGTGAAGGGTGTTGACAGAAATAAAACAACTATTAAAAAATAGGTCCACGTGTGGATTTCTAATCATCATGTCCAGTGCTGGGGAAAAATATGAAGATGTCTTTATTTAACAGAGCAGAGCATATTTCAAATGTTAATTTTATGTTTGCTGAGTAGATACTAGACATTTGTACTGATCTTGGTTGTAGATGGCACTAAATCAATTTTACCATCTAAGTTTTTGTTTAAGTTTTAGTTTTTCTGAAAGATGTGGTCTATTTTATGACAAATTATATTCACTAAAACCATTTCACTTGTTTAGATTACTTTAGGACTTCTGAGATTACCTATCTTGGTATGACTAGTGCCAGATCTGATGAGTCTTTCTGCTTTTTTTTCTGTTTTCAGGGAAGCTGTGATTAAGCACTCACTGGTACATAAAGTATTCTTGGACTTTTTTACCTATGCACCCCCCAAACTCCGATCAGTAAGTTCTTGGTTTTTGTTTTTAAACTAAAACATGGAGAAGGAGTGGTGTAGAAATTTGAAAAACTGCTTTGATGTACATTGTCTTTTGGAAATTTTAGAGTTGCTTCCCTATTTAGGGAAGATAATTTACTCACCTCCCTTTGAACATGTTTGCAATTTCCATTTAGATATTCCAGTAAACAATAGAATTGACCCTAGCTTTACTAGTCATATTGAATGTTTATACCTTAATTATAATCCGTAGAGTATCCGCTAACTAGCCTACTCAGAAAAATTAGAGCTTATTATGGATGAAATCAAGCATTCGGGTACTTTTAAATTCAACTGTGCCAAAAAAAAAAAAAAAAAATTAGCTTGGCATTAAAAGGTTAGAGGAGGATACGTTTGTAAAACTAAATGGACCATGAAAACCTGGACTTTAAATGATAGAAGAACAGAGAGTGAAGGTAAATTGCACTGCCCTTCAAGTCAGTCATGGGAATACAAATGAGAATTCATCATTTATTTCCCTGAACTTTGCTTGCCTCATTGTACAGTGAGCTCATTGTCCATTTGTCCTCATTTTCCAATCACAAGGGATAATGAAAATAATGAGACTGACTTAACAAATATGCCAGACTATACATTCATTGGAGTTTTGACTTTCTTAAAATTGGCATGCAAAATAATTTCCCAACGGTAGCCACCCACCTAAGCTTATGGTTCGATGACCATAGCAGCACCTTCTCTTTCGGAGATTTCTCTTATTTCCTACAAAACACAGTATCCCACGGTTCTGAGGCAGGACTGTATGCTTAGAAATGACACAATGATTATTTGAATATATTCAGTGGTAGAAAGTATCTTTTTAGTGTTGAATGTTTCAGTAACAGCAAAAAATCTTTTGTAACTTAGCATGCATGTAAAGTAATGAGACAAATTGTCTTTTCTGGTACTGGGGGCATTTTCAAAAGAGACTTAAAAAAAAAAAAAAACCTTTGGGGAAAATGGAAGCATAATTGGGATATATGCCTGGCTTTCCATCTGGGTAGCTCTGAAGAGATTCCTAAGTTCAGGTATATTAGTTGAAACTGCTTTTGAGAGTCATCTTGGGAAGCGATGTAAGATACTTGAGGGTGAAATTGTTTGTTCCTTAATGAAATTAGGCACCTACCCTCTCTTTCCTGGCATGAGGCTTTGTATTTATTTATTTAATGTAAATTTTTAAATTGGGAATAGACTAAAATGGGGCTCTGAAGCTGTTCGTTGCCAGAACTCATTTACATTCTATGTGCTTAGACTTTGAAAATATAGGGCTGGGCACGGTGACTCACACCTGTAATCCCAGCACTTTGGGAGCCCGAGGCAGGCAGATCACAAGGTCAGGAGTTCGACACCAGCCTGGCCAGTATGGTGAAACCCTGTCTCTACTAAAAATACAAAAATTAGCCGGGGGTGGTGGCGGGCGGCTGTAGTCCCAGCTACTCGGGAGGGTGAGGCAGGAGAATTGCTTGAACCCGGGAGGTGGAGGTTGCAGTAAGCCGAGCTCGCACCATTGCACTCCAGCTGGGTGACGGAGCGAGACTCTGTCTCCAAAAAAAAAAAAGAAAGAAAATGTAAATAAGAAATTATGTACATGGAAAATGAAGGCTAAGGGTTAAATTAAGCTAAGCTACGTAGTGAGAAATTAAATGTTTTTTACTAAAGGGTCATTTGTAGGTGAGGTCTTAGTCTAAATGTTAGTACAGAAATTTTTCATAAGGAAATATTATATAAGCATGTTTATGGTAAAGAATATGATTTTTGGAGATAATCCTGTTATGAACTAAAAAGGGAACTTTTGCAGTCAAAATGAGTGTTTTGATTCTGTTTATTACATACAGGTCTCTTTTAGGGAGGAGCATTTTCTTTATCTCACTTATTCTGTTAAAAGCTCCCTTCTTATCACCACCACCTCCTAGGCTTCTTTTCCTTGGAAAATTATTAGAATATATTATAGTACGCATATAGTTTGTGACTTTTTTTTCTAACGGACGTTGGTAAAAGTCAGATATTGTGTTTACAGAAATTGTCTGCCAGCAGTATTTACTGCTCTTGACGGAAAAGAACGTTTCTAGAAAGAGGTTGTGTTTCTGTTTGATTGCCTACAAATTGAAATTGTTTGCTACCCGGCACTCTCTTCCTTTCCTTCTCTCTGCATAACTGCCCCCTGTAGACAGACAGGTAAAACAGCAGAAAGAAGAAAATAAAGCAAAGCCCTGTTCCTGACAGCATTTGTTCCCTAGGAAATGATTGAAGCCATCCGCGAAGCAGTGGTCTACCTGGCACACACACACGATGGCGCCAGAGTGGCCATGCACTGCCTGTGGCATGGCACGCCCAAGGTAAGTGTGACAGCACTTGTGCATTTAAACTGTACAAGTCAGGGCCATGCTTTGTCTGCAGGCTTGACTTAGCTGTCCTTAGACTTTTAATCTCCTTTGGTCTTTTCCCTGTTGTGCATAGCAACATTATCTTCCAAAAGTTGTGCCTCAGGGCCTGATGGGAATGAGCCATCTTCTTTAGGCCTAGTGTTTCTTCTTTTCTCTGCTGTAGTAGAAACCTTGAAGTTTCGTTAAAGGATGGGAAGAGATCTATCAAGCAAGTAAACATAATATGTGTTTAAGCTTTAGTTTATAGAGGTTTTGGTACCTCCTCACTTAATGATCATACTATGGCAGAGGGAAGTGAGAAGGGCTAACAAACAGCTGGCCACACATATTTGCTCCCATAGGTGTTAAGTACTTGAGGGAAAAGGTAAAGATTCTTGTTAGGCACAAAAGTTTAACAAAAATGATCATTATTTTCTCGGTCAGCATAATTCTGCCTTTAAAAGATAGTTGTACTATATCTACTTTTTTAACGCAGATTTAATTTTGTTCAACAAATGTAGATGAGTACTAACTGTTTGCTAGACTCTGCATTTGAGGACCGTTCAGACCTTGGAAGAAGGGTCTGTCTGGTCTCACTGTGAAAGGTGGCTTCACTAGGTTTGCCTTGCAATTTGCAATTCAATGGTTCCATATTTATGTCTGAATGGATTGTCACATACACATCTAAGCTTGTAATAGTTCTAAGAGAACTTCTTTGGTATATTACAGTTTTTTCATTCTGGCTGCATAACTATTTTTACTAATGAAAAAATATGCCACTCAAATGAAAACTTAATAAATATCATATTAAAATGTTTAACTACAAAATACCCTTACTACATAACTGAAAGTTCAGTGAAACAATCTTTCCTTTTTAAGGACAGGAAAGTGATTGTGAAAACAATGAAGACTTACGTTGAAAAGGTGGCTAATGTAAGTATAATAAAACTACATATTTCTTCAAATTATTTTTAATAGATGTATTCATGTATATTACAGAAAATTTGGAAAAATTCAGAAAATTACCAAGAAGAAAATTATTGTTTTATTATATTTTTCTGTGCATATACATGTATTTTCATATTTTATCTACACAAAATGGAAATCATGCCGCATGCATTCTTTTTTAATTTAACATTGTATTGTGATAGTTCTCTACTTTTATTAGATATTCTTTGAAAACCTGATATTTAGTAGCTTTTTTGGTGAATTTGTCCAGTCGTGTTAATTAAACATGGGAATTACTGCCTGGATACGGTATGTCCGTATTTTAGTCTCTGGGTGAATGATGCCAGATTGCACTTCAGAAACTTGATATTAGTTTTCCTTAGGACCAAAACCATAAAAGAAATTAAAATGTATCTTTTTATTTTTTAAAAATAAATTTGCAGTGTGGTTATGGAAATTTTTAGTTGTGAAATTTTATAGTTCTTTAGAAATGCAGTAACAATTTTCCTAATTTTTTTCTGGGGAATTTGTTGCTTCAAAAATAGTGTTTATATGTTTTTAGATATTAAATAATTTTTCATGCTGTTACTATGGAGTACTATAACTAGAAAATATGTAGTAAATACAATTTTAATTTTTGAGTTATATTTTATATATTTGATGGATAACAGTTCATCAGTAAAGTTCTAATGTATTGGTGAACTAAAATTATGTAGTAATCAACTACTTTATCCTTTGAAAAAAATCCAGTGAGAACTACTAGCATCTGGTGAATACTTCAACTTGTTTGAAATAGTAAGTCAAACAAGTTAAAATTAATGCTGTGTGATTATATACTTGACTGTTATCTTCTGTTGGGCTAGAGATTAGAAGAATTCAGAAGGCAGCTAACATTCCTATAACAAAGTGAAATATGGAATTCTCTGATGAGTTCTTTCCAGTGTATGTGATTTTTTTATGATTCATAATTCAATGTTAAGTAAATTTTTATGCATGGCATTCTAATTTGAATACTTTACATTAAAATGAATAAAAACTAGAATGTTAATAGAAAATTCACAAAGGTATTAATAGTATGACATTTTTAAATAATTAGATTGTTTTAGTTCTATAGTTCGGTTATGTCAGGTAATTCAACACTAAGTTTTTGGAGAACCTAATCCCAGCATGGCATCATGATGGTAACAGAAATTAGCAATACATGTCTTTTTAAATCTCTAAGAGTTACTTCTAAAGGGATGATAAACTAACATTACCCATGGATTTGATCCATGGGCTATTTAGAATTATTAATTTCCAAATATTGGGGGTTTCTTGATATACTCTATATTTTGTTCCTTTTAAATTTATTGAGACCTATTTTATGGCCTAACATATGGTCTACGTATTTTGAAAATAATATATTGTAGAGTTGTTTGGTGGGGTATTCTATATTTGTCAATTAGATCAAAGTAGTTGATAGTGTTCATACCATCAATGTTTTTACTGGCTTTTTATTTTCTAGTTCTATCAGTTGCTGAGAGAAACATGTTAAAATTTCTAACTATACTTTTGGATTTGTCTATTTCTCACTTATATTCAATTCTGTACCAGCTTCTGTTGTATTCATCCAGAAATATTTTATGCTTGGTTATGCTTATGTGTGTCTGAGTTAAGAGAACTGAAACCAGTGATTTTGTAGTAGGCACATTGTTCTCCATTTTGTTTCCTTCACTTAATTCATATTACGGGTCATTTTATTTCAACATACATACATCTGTCTACCTCACTTTTCTTAGTGACTATAACATTTCATCATATGCCTGTACCATAATTTATTTAACCAGCCCCTACTGAAGGGCATTTTGTTAGTTTCTAGAATTTTTAAAATTACAATTAGTATTTCCGTGAATATACTCGTATGTAAGTCTTTGTACTTACATGGAAGCACGTCTGCAAGATAAATCCCTAGAACTAGAATTGCTGGATCAGGTCATACTTGCATTTTAAATTTGTATAGGTGTTGTCAGTTGCTCTTCAAAGAAGTTGAACGACTTTAGATTCTCATCAACATAAAAGTGTGCCTGCTTTTTCCTAAACCTTTGATAAATTAGTCTATTGTCAGAGGTTTTCACCATCGCTTATAGGATAAATGGCATTTCATTGTTTTAATTATTGTCCTTAATTAGTTCCTAAAGCATTATTTCATACATTTAAAGACATTTGTACTTCTGTTTTTTGTGATCTGACTCTTCATGTTCTTTGCCCATTTTTAGTTGGTTGTTGGTCTTTGTATAGTAAGGGTGTTAGACCTTTGTTGTTTATCTTCAGTTTGTCTTTTTGACTTTACAATTAGCAACTCCGTTATTGTTTCTGATTGAAATTGTATTATTATCTGTGATATTCATCAGATCTGGCTCTAAATGATTGTGGACTGTTATCAAAAATCAAATTCCTATCAAAGTTTAAAACAATTATATCAACATCCAGGATACTCGTGTGACAAGCTCTGGAAACAGGTTTTAGTTTAGTTTTGTTTTTGTTCTTAACATAAAGTAGGTGTTCTTTAAATGTTTGGAACAGTATTAGCATCATGGAAATAATTTTATTTCAAAAGATAAGTGTTGTGAAAGCCACATGTGTATTTCTGTGATCTCATGCAGCTATACTTTTTTAAAGTAATGATTTTTATATCATTCTCATGCAGTGTATAATTATACTCTTCTAGTTTATTTTTTTCATGTTTATATTCTAATTTTGTGAGATCACGTTAAAGAAATTGAGCAATATAGAAAAGAAAATTAAAAATTATTTGTATAACCCAGAGATGACTATTACAATACCTTGCCTTCCAGGATTTTCTGTGTACGTGTATTATGTATATCGTGTGTTTGTGTGTGTGTAAAATTGTGTGAGTTTGTATTTTCTTTTTCATGATTGGAGTATCTTATATATGTGTTTATATATGTAGGTTTTTTGAACCTAATCTTATAACTTGAACTTTTAAGTATAATTTTCAAGTAGCTATTCATTAACAGTATACCTGTTTACGTAGGTATTAGTTTTAGACTATTTGGTAATGAATAATGTGCTTTAAAAAAAATCAACCTTACCTCTAGAATATAATTAATGAGGTCGTGATAAGAGAGAAAGTTCAGTAGAATGGCTTTTATTCATCTTGTTTATATTATGTTAGACAAGTTGTCAATGTAGGTAACCTTTATGAAGATATTCTGTGTGTGGAATAAGAGGGAAAATCTATGCACTCGTTTTTAACCTTTACTGGCTTCCAATTCTTGCAGGGCCAATACTCCCATTTGGTTTTACTGGCGGCATTTGATTGTATTGATGATACTAAGCTTGTGAAGCAGATAATCATATCAGTAAGTAATTCTGATGGTCTTGAATTTAAGTTGCATCGATAAACCAGTTGTGGATGTGTAAGCTTGATTTCACCATGCATGTATAAAGACTTGCAGCTGTGCCTTCTATCAATATTTTTGCTTACTTTTAAGTTAATTATGTTTTATTTTGGAGGTTTTATTCCTGTATAAATCCTAACCTTGTAACTTGATATTAATACTGTTTTAAATATTTAAGACTGGTCAAATTAAGATTTAACACTTTTATTTTGGATTAGGATAACATGGTACTTTAGACTATATGCGATTCTAAACTATGGAAAGTTAACAACGTAATATTTAGATATGATCAGAAATTAGCATAGTAATTCCTCAGTTATTCCAGAACTCAAATACAAGCAGAGAATATCTGTGACCTATTAAATTCTCTCTCTCCCTGTGGAGAAATAATTACCTCTGCACAGTTACCAAGTTAATCATTACATCTGTGCTGGATTGAGCTGATGGAGAAGAAAAATGTACAACACTCACTCAGTTGTGATGCTTCTTAGAGCTTTTGGAGGGTCAAATTAAAAGTTATTACTAAAATTAAAACTCTAGCTTCCTTTTTATATTTCAGCAATTCCTTCTAGTCCAGTGTAATGACCATAAAGTGGTAATACATGTATGTAGTGTATTTGTCCCTAAACTTGCCTTCAGAAAAACTAATTGTCCTCTTAGGGGAAGTACTCCAAAGTAAAAATTGCATTCTAAACTATTTGTTTTCTTCATTCTGTATCAATAGCCTCTTTTTCTGATTCTACGATTGTCTTTTCTTCTATTTTTATTGTATGAGTGGTGTTGAGTATATGGTAGAGGTTGCAGCAGGGTGGGGATAAGAAAATACTAGCTTAATAGTAGTGACCAAACTTGGAAACGTCTTGAAAACCACATAATCTGTATAGACATAGGTTATTTGTCTGAAAATTACACAAGCCTTTCTGTTTGATATACATGAATGGGACCCTTAGAGAAATCTTAGTGATGACCAGTGGTACTTTCACATCTGCGAGAAAGAAGAATGTGGATGATTCAAAAAGAGAATTTACCTGTTGTCAGGTGGTGGTGCTGTGGTCTCTCTTTGTAGCCCCTCGGGATCAGTAGAGCTGAGTGTAGTAGAAAAAGTATACCAGCTAGTGGAGGGGAAGATTGTTTTCTTAGATGCCAGCTGTAGGTCCCAGTGTGTGTGAATTTCTCATGCCCTTGCTGTCATTTTCCAACTTTACCCTTGACTATTTTAAGATTGTGATGACTTTCTTTGGGATAGGATTGTGGGAAGAAACAAGTTGGCAAGACTTCAACGTTACGAACTGAGTATTTTGACATGTTCCTTGTGACTTTATTACCCTTTTGACTCCAATCAATAATGATTGTTTTTCATTCCTGTGACAGAGATGTGAGGCCATAGAATTGGCTAATGAATAAAGTCGTTTCACAGAAATGGAAACAGGCTGGGATATTGAAAGTTTGCTTTTGTTTAATATTTTCACGACAACTAAAATTTGCATAACTGTTCCAAATGGATTTCAAGAGAAACCAAATTTCCTTCACAATTTGCCAGAATTGTCTGTTAATTTTTTTCCAAAGATGTATGCCACTTAAAGTTGCTGTTGAAACAGTTTTAATTCCTTATATCACTTTGATTCCCACAACTGCTTAACCCACATTCTTAATGACTTTATCATACTGAGGGCAGCTTTCCCCGCATGGCCTGATTTGCCGATCTCTTGTCTGTAACTGACAAATGTTCAACAGGTTCTGTGTATTATTAAACTGTGTAGCTTGTGATAAAATTCTGGAATGCTAATTGCCCTTGAATTTTTCCCACCCCTCATCTACGACAAAAACAGTTGCAGTATGCAGTGCTTTTAAAAAATAAACAGGAAAGCTTAGTGTTGCTAAGCACTCTGTTCAGGGCACCCAGACTTCCCAAAAATGTCAGGTTGAAATCACAGCCTGGTCAGCTGAGCCTTTCACCTTTCAAAATGGATACGAGCTCTTTCTAACTACTTTACTTTCCTAAATAAACATAAAGTTTCATCCAGTTTACTTTTGTAGTCATTGATACACAGGCGGTTTGACAGCAATGTTCGTTGGAAAGTAAATAAGTACACTAGCTAATTGCTGTTTGAGGGTGAATAAATATTGATGCATATTTTTAAAGGCATTGTCTTTAAAATATACAGAAAGGTATGAATAATACAGTGAACACCTAGCCTCCCACCACCTGGCATAAAATAGAACTTGACAAATACAGTTCAAATTTAAGCCCTTTGTGTACCTATCCCTGGTATCCTGTCATCGCCCCGTATCTACTGTGATAAATTTGGTATTTATTATTCATATGCATTTCCTTATCCTTTCACTATATGTAGACGTTTTTTATTTTGTAAAACATGTATCTAATTTTATTTCACATGTTCACAAGTTCTGTATAAATGATGTCTTACATGTATTCTTCTGCATCTTGCTTTTTTTTCTTATGTTTGTGAGATTTAGCATCGAGTCAGCAAGCCTTTTTTATAAAGGACCAGTTAATAATTATTTTAGCCTTTGTGGGGTCTATATGGTCCTATCACGTATTCTTGTTCATTTTGTTTTTGTTTTTTAAAACCCTTTTGAAATGTAAAAACCATTATTAGCTTGCAAGATGGACAAAAACAGGCTATAGGCTGGATTTGACCAATGTGCCATAGTTTACCCATCCATATTCTAAATCATTTATTTTTCGCTGCCAAATAGTATTCTATTACATGTGACTATACTGCAATTTATTTTCTGTTTTTCTGGTGATGGATGTTTAGATTGTTTACAATTTTAAAAACTAACTTTAATTCTTAATTTTTGCTAATCCACATCCATGAACATTCTTGTGTATGTCTCCTTGGGACATGTTAAGTTTCTCTAAGGCACTTAGCAGAATCTCTGGACTGCCAGTTTTGCTGCATGTGTTTATATAGAGAGTCATGTGTTCCTATTTCCCACTCAGCCACTACAAAACCATTGCATTACGCAGTGCTTTTAAAAATAGCCAAGAAAGCTTAGTGTGTTGCTAAGCATTCCATTTAGAGTAACTAGATTTCCCAAAATGTCAAGTTGAAATCATAGCCTGATAATCACTGCTTGTTTTCTGTTAAGACTAAGCTCTAATGTAATCACCAGATAGTGATCTTCTAGTCAGATGTGGTCTCCCCACCCACTCAACTACTGTAGTCTTTTTCTTTGCCATCCTTTCCTTGAGCAGTTAATCATGATCTCACCCAGGGCTCCCAAACCTGCAAAACCTTCATTGACCAGATAGGTAAATGAGTGGCCAGGCCAGGTGTGAGACAAGGAGATGTGGGAGGGACTGTAGGAAATGGCGAGAGCACACGCCCTCTCCAAGGTGGTGGGCGCCATTCAGCTCCAGTCCCTGGCAGTGTGAGCTCCATGGCAATAGATCTTCACATTTGTTTTCTTTTTAATTGAGGTAAACTACACATAACAAAATTTACCATGTTAACCATTTTGAAGTATACAGTTAAGTAATATTAAATATGCTCATTGTTAGGCAATCTCCAGGACATTTTTTATTTTGCAAACTGAATGAGGCACTGTACCCACTAAACTAGACCTTCCAGTTTTTTTAGTGCAGCTGAAAAGGTAGACTTTTGCAAATAGTCACCCTGTTTTCAGAACAAAACACTCGGGGAGCTGCCTGATGATCTAACCTGCCCTCTATAGTTCTGTTAGCCATTAGTTAAATCTCTTAGTTTTAACTTTTTATTAACTGTCTTCCCTCTTCACTAGATTTTAGGTTCCATATAGTAGTCTGCATTTCTTTTTGTCCCCACAGCAAACTACCGTTAAGAGGACACCACAGGCTCAGTTTTCAGCTCCATGGATGGGTTGATTTTTACATTTCTAACCTCGGTCAAAAATGCATACACATGTGTGCATCTTTTATTTTGACCTTTACCCTTCCTCTTTAAAAGAGCATTGGCAAAACAAGAGTGCCAAGGTATCTAGCTAGAGGTCAGCACAAGGCGGTCAGAACTGGCCAAAGATGTCTTCAGAAGGAAAGTCTTTGTAATTCCCATGCTTTCTTTGTTTACTTACCTACTTTAGAGCTTAAGAAGAAATCACAATAAATGGGCCTTTGTGAATTTTCTGTAAGTTAACTCTTGTTAGGAGTAAGCTAAACCAGAACCTTTCAAATTAAACAATTTTTGCTATTCTTTCTCTTGAGGGTGAAAACTCATGACTCAGCTAGCTTTATTTAATCTCCATAGTTAAGGAGGATATACATATTGAGAGGTATGTTTTTCATATGAAATAATTATTTTGTGACAGCTTTCACTTTGCAGTGTGACTTTTTCTGATTTGCTCCTAGTAATAGCCCATGCGTTAGGCAGGTCTATCATTTCCTTTTAAATATAAGGGAATTAATATGCAAAGAGGTTAATGGATTTGCCAAAGGCTACACAGCTTGAACTCAAGACCCCAGAGACGAAATTCTGCACAAAATTAACTATGCCTTAGCTGTCTCTTACCTATTTATACATGTTACTGGAATTGTTAGTACACACTGTGTGATAATCCAGAACTTCCCCATTTTCTTTGTAACCCAAGTTAAAGAGAAGTGAAGTGTATAAGTACTCTTTCAAAGATGTGTGTTTTTGATGGTAGGGGAAAGCTGGAATGAGGGTGATCTGGGGAAGGATTAAATGATACTACATTTTTTTTTTTTCTGATCAATAAGGTGGGTTGAAAAATATTACATTTTGAAGTAAATGTTTTTTAGTTTTTTGTAAAATTGCTATTTATAAACATTGGCATTCTTTTAAAAGCCTTAATTAAATATGAATTTAGATTCTAAATTCCTTAATTACAAACCAAAAGGGAGTGAAGTTCAATGAATTTGAGGACTGGTCTGAGTAGTATTTGAGCACCGGTTTTATGCGTATCATGAAGTCCCAGTCTCTCATTTTATAAAACAATTTCTGCCCAAGCCATATGTGTCAGATTAGTCCCTAAGCGTGGAAGCTGTGGAGAAAGCTCGCTATATTGAGGAATACATTGCCAGCATCATGCCTCCTCCCTATACCAAGGGAAAAAAATGTTAAATAAAAGTGAAGAGTAGCCATTATAGTTGTTCACTACATACAGTTTTTGTTTTTTCTCAAAAAAAAAAAAAAAACATTTTTAACAATGTTATATTTCAGAATCATTTTGTTAAGGGCCGCGAAGTTTTGTTTCAGTTTTTTTTTTTTTTTTTAACTGTAGAAATTGGCCCAGCCTATGTATTATTCTCACCTCTTTCTTTCAACAAATTAACAAAATATATAAGAAATTAAAGCGTTTGTCCTCTTTTATGAGTTGGTTAAAGCTTAAGGCACACTCAAGGCACACTTAAGGCACACTAAAGGCACACTCAAGTTACGCCATATTTGGGGCGCTAAACACTTCGTTATCAACAACACATAGATTGTCCGGGTGCGGTGGCTCATGCCTGTAGTCCCAGCAGTTTTGGAGGCTGAGGTGGGTGGATCACCTAAGGTCAGGAGTTCGAGACCAGCCTGGCCAACATGGTGAAACCCCGTCTCTACTGAAAACACAAAACTTAGAGTGTCATGGTGCATCCTGTAGTCCTAGCTACTCCAGAGGCTGAGGCAGGAGAATTGCTTGAACCCAGGAGGCAGAGGTGGCAGTGAGCCAAGATCGCACCACTGCACTCCAGCCTGGACAACAGTGAGATTCCGTCTCAAAAAAAAAAACATAGATTGAATTCACATTGGAGCTTGTTTGCCTTGAAAGAGTTCCCTACCTTGTAACAAGTTCTGTGTATTTTTTGTGTGTGTGTTTTCCCATTTATTACTGAAATTTTATGTTCATTTTCCCTGGGTGCTTGAAATTATATATTCATTTTGAGGTGGTTAGACCTATTGAATTTTCAGTTCTCTGAAAACTTTTATGTTTTACATGGAAATCTTTATACTGTAATCTTAGACTTCAGAAGTAATTAGGAGAGCATAATGAGGATCGGACTGCTAGAAACAGGACATAGTGGTCAGAAGATTATGTTAGATGATCACTGCACAGCTCTCAGTAGTGCTTGACTCCTAGTAAGCACTTAACGAGTGTTAGCTACTGTTATCAGAAGCATGCTATACTTTTGTGCAAAAAATGAGGGAAGGTTGGGATTTTAAAAAGAGAAACATGGTGTTTGGAACCTGGAGCAGCATCATCAGCTCTAGGATCATGACAGCGAGATTCATGGTCCCATGGTTGATGGCTGACTTGATTTTGAGCTCGGTTCCTTACACTGAAATTGCTAATCTCATCATAATAAATAGGCCCTTTTAGGAAGAGCAGATCTGAATGTGTCATCTCAGAGAGAATCCCTTTCCTTAAGAGGAGGTTTTATGTTTGAAAGAGACTGGATTTGGAGTTGGAGAACCAGGACACTGCCACTGTGAGTCCTCTGGCAGCTCCTCTCCTCTTTCTGGATGCCTCATCTGTAAACCTGGCCAGTTGGACAGAACTCTTTCCGAGGCCCAGCCAGTTCTAAAGAATATGGGGTGCTCAAACATGCATTGAATACTTGTAAAGTTTGTTACAAGAAATAGGAGTGTCAGAGGTGGGGAAACAAATTGATGACTCTTCTGTTGCATCTTCTCTGTTAAGAATAAAGGAATTTTTAAAAATTTTCAAGTGACTTCTCTGTCTTTGAAAGCATCAGATTTACACAGGAGTTTAGTTAGGGTGGGGATGACATTGCTTTTGTCCCTTAAATTCGAACAACTAGAAAAGGAGGTTACTGTTCTTGGGTATGTTGATTGGAAATGTCATACAGTGTAACTTTGTAACTGCTTAGTTGAGGCTTTCTGGATTTGGTTTCCCCTCCTCCTCTGTTTTTGTTTTTCATTGCAGTAGCTAAACAGCCTTCATTTGCCATGAATAAGCAACCTAACTTTAAAAGCCTTTATCCACTTGTTCGATTTAACAGAGTTTCTTTATCTCCTTTCACATACATCCCAGCAGGGAAATTCTAATAGAAATGTTCTTCATTCATGCCGATGCTACATTTAAATGCAGCTGCAAATTAACTGTCTCTACTCAGTGACCTCAGCAAGTGATGTCCCTCGTAATAGTGGCCCAAGAAATACTGGCCATAATGAATGAAGATAACACCTTTAAATATTTTTTAAGTCCTTGGGCTTGGTCAGTTAATATAAATGAGTTGTTCAGTAATGCTAGTCACAAAAGAGAATTGATTCTGTGTTCTAAGTGTAAATCTCTGTGTGCTTTAATGAGACAATTTCAGAACTAGCTCCACATTTTCCATGAAGTACGCTGGGAAAAATAGTTAAGTATGTCCTTCACCATTGAAATTCCAGGCAGACTTTAAGACTGTAGATATCAATTCTTTTTGTTGTTGTTGTTGTTGTTTATAATTTTATAGGACATTGTGCTCACTTCGGCGGCACATACACCATAATTTTATAGGAAATTATCAGTTCCTTGTTTAGCATAGTAAATGACAAATATGGAAGGAAGGTCCTGTGGTACTTTTTTAAGAATGCAGATATTGATTATTCTTTTTGTTTATAATGTTATAGGAAATTATCAGTTCGTTGCCTAGCATAGTAAATGACAAATATGGAAGGAAGGTCCTATTGTACTTACTAAGCCCCAGAGATCCTGCACATACAGTACGAGAAATCATTGAAGTTCTGCAAAAAGGAGATGGAAATGCACACAGGTAAAAACAAGTAGAATGGCTTGACTTCTTTATTCTTCTGCTCTGGTTGTCTGCTAATGTTGAATAGTGCATGCGTCCAGAAATCCACTTACGCATCCATACCCTCTCTCTAAAATTGCTGAAAAGGTGAATTCCATTTTCAAGCCTGTATTTTTGACAGATTCTTAAAGCTTTTATCTTGAAAAGGAAACAAAAGTGTCATGCCAAAAGAATACCTCTGAGCCCTTGGCACGTAGTAGGCATTCAGGTGTGTGGTTTGACTTTTGTTTTGCTTTCTTTTCAAAGCTACCGATACCACATATTTGACTACCCTAGAGTATGGTGTCCATACAGCAGTGTAAACGTGTTGTTTTGTGGGTATGTTGTTTGGTTTTTGGATTTTTTTTTTTTTTTTGGTATTACACAAGCCAGACTCCCTTTATTGAGTGCTTGTTCTGTGGCAGGCATTATTCAGATCGCGGGACAGAAATATTTTTAAAAACAGAACACATACTCAAATCACTCATTGTCTACATGCTTAACAGAAAGATAGACAATAATAATAGAGTGTGATACAGTCTGTGATAAGCTCTTAGAGGTTTTTGTGATAATAAGATCACATTTCCTTTGTGATTTATCTTACCTTAATACCATATTCAACAGTAAGAAAGATACAGAGGTCCGCAGACGGGAGCTCCTAGAATCCATTTCTCCAGCTTTGTTAAGCTACCTGCAAGAACACGCCCAAGAAGTGGTGTTAGATAAGTCTGCGTGTGTGTTGGTGTCTGACATTCTGGGATCTGCCACTGGAGACGTTCAGCCTGCCATGAATGCCATTGCCAGCTTGGCAGCAACAGAACTACATCCTGGTGGCAAGGACGGTGAGGTAATGTGCCGTTAAAGGCCAGGCAGGAAAGCTGCAAAGGCCACAAAAACTTCATTTTTGGAGGATGCGGGGTGTCAGTAAGGAAACTGGGGAGGGAGATGCCTGTTGAATAAACAAACAAAGAACCTCCCACAGCAGCAATTACATTCATCTTTAATTTTCTATAACCATCTGGGTCAAAGCTTGGCACTTGGGAATGTTTTGCAGACGTGTATTTGGTTATGAATGAAATCATTGCCAAGTATTGAATGCCCAAGGTGCTTCTGACACCTGAGATTGGGGAAGAGAAGTGGGCCATGGATCTTAGAGAAGCCCTGGCTCCTCCTGACCATATTAACAAATGGGAAAGATGAATGCAGCTTGAAAGTTTCGCTATAAGGAGACTGAGCCGGTTGCCTCCCATACTTGCTAAGGAGAAACCCAAGTAACTGGGAACGATTGCTATTGCTCTTGAAAAGGAGTAAGGTTGAGCTGAAGAGATGCTTTCTTGAGTTGCTCATCAGATAATCCCCTTAGGTAGTCAGGTGTACTTAAACAGCATGCAGCATTGGGTTTTGATGTTTCTGCTCTAGTGTTCTGTCCTGTAGGTTTATTTGTGTCTGAGAATGGCATATTTCAGTCTAAGACATGATTGGCATTAAGATGAGCCTTGTGCTGCTACTGTTCAGAGCACATTTCATGAAGCTGAGACTAAAGTGCTGTGCAGTGACTGTGTTATCCGACATAACCGTCTTTTGGTCTGGGGATTAGAATAGATCTCTGGTCCCCCCAAGTATGATGGTTGTTCTAGATAAAGACCTCTTAAGCCTGTGGAACTTTAAAAGTGGCTGAGTCCTTATTAGTATGTGGTGACATAAATTGTATGTATTCATTCAAATGTATTTGCATGAATGAAAACAGCTTTTAAGATTAACTGTTCTTGACCCCTCATAGCTTCACATTGCAGAACATCCTGCAGGACATCTAGTTCTGAAGTGGTTAATAGAGCAAGATAAAAAGATGAAAGACAATGGGAGAGAAGGTAGGCTATGAAATTTGACCTTTTCTTGTATCTTATGTGGAATTCCAGTAATTCCTGGCATCCCTGAACTTTATACCGGCCATTTAGGCTCAAATGAAGTTTGTTGTGTTTAGAAATGATGTCTGTGAATAAGAAATGATTCAGTGGTTGCTGGTAATGCTTTTTCCCCTAGAAATTTGTGCCCGAGAACTCTTTAATTTTCTTTCTTTTTTCCACACCCTCCCCCCCACCCCCCCCCCACTCTCTCTGTTCTCCTTCCTCTGCTGCTGCAGGCTTCTAACCTGGCTTGGTCACTGCCTTAAAATGCCATTCTAAGGAGGATGGTGAGGGGGGCAGGGGGCCCCAATTGTTGAGTATCATTACCTCAGTAGAAAGGCATGATATTTATCTCTGTGTTCGAAGAAAGAATAAGCAGAGGAAGATTATCCTCGTAAGAGAATTTTGGACTAGGGCCTGTTTATTTGGTATTGAAATACATGTGACCAAAGAGTAAGCCAGTCTTTGGCGCTTTCTGTTTTTTTGTAAGCCTTACAGCTGCTCTGTAGAAACTCAGCTCTCTAGAGAAGGACAGCATTAGCATTTGCATGCCATTCCCCTCTCAGTCCTATCTCCAACCAGACCTTCACTTAGGAAATCCAAATTGCATCTGGTATTTAAACCACTGGAGAGATGTTTTTCCCCTAGTGAATGAAAACAGTTTGGGCTTTTCATTACAATGACTGAAAAAAAAAGTGACAGATCGTGAATTCATGTCTTACGGCAAGTGGCAGCTCTAATGGCTAGTGAGGCAATCAGTATAGCAGTAGAGCTGTCTCTTCTCACTTTACCTTTAAGAATGGGGACCTGGGGCTATTTTTCACTGAAAATTTTTTTGGTAAAAGAGAAGCCTTGTGATGAATATTAAAGAAAAAAATAACATATGGAATCATCTTTTTCATTATTAAAAAGTTAATGTATAGTTGAGTTTATGCCAGAAAAGTAGTCTGGCTTAATGTTCAATGGTTTTTCTCCCTCTTAATTAAAATGTGCTGAGAACCCTAAAATCTGCCTGTTTGGGTCTAATGTGTTTGTCATGTTGTATTCCTATAGCACCAAATGAGTTTGTCCTCCTGCATGTCTAGCTATTTTGATTCTCTTTTACTGTATAGTAGCCACCTTAAAACGTAGTAGTTTTCAAAACAATGACTTGATCAGGGTCTGGTGGAGCTTGCCGCCTCTGTGCTCAGAGTCAGTCATCTAAGGCTGCTTGGTTTGTGGCTGGAGTGTCCACTTTTTGGAAACTGAATCACATGGCTGGCAAGTGAGTACTGACTGTTGACTGGGGACCAACAGCTTCAGTTTCTCTTCCTAGGCTGCTTGGGCTCCTTCACGAGATAGTGGTTGCTTTTTTAAGAGTGAGCATCCTGAGAGAACAAAGTAAATGCCTGGCACTTCCATGATTTATCCTTAGCAGTTATTTAATGCCACTTTCATCATACTGTTTTGGTCAAGTCAATCACAGAGGCCCCCCGTGATTCAAAAGAAGACATGGATTCCCCCTGTAGATGAGGGAGTGGCTGCATTCTAGAAGAGCACACAGGACAGGAGATATTATTGTTGTCAGCTTTGGAAAACAGTTTGCCTCACTAGGTGAACTCTGTCCCTCTTAGCAGGTACCATGAAAGGCTGAATAGCCATAGGCCTCTTGACTTTTAAAGAGTCCTTACATTTAGGTATCTGAATGAATTATGTAGTACATGCTACCTGACTATGATGTTTGCCGTCAAGATAGGTTGTCCCTACCTCCATCTACACTAAATCTTAGCTATCAGAATTTCTCCTGTGTCCAAGCATTAATTGCACAGTGAAAAAGATAATACCAAGACCTTGGGAATCAGAAGTACCAGAATAACAGGAGACAAATGGTATTTTTGGTTTGTGAGTATGTAAGCTTTGTAAAGAGAAATGCCAAGTGTAAGCTAGAACCATCATTTATCAACCACTGTTGAACACGTGAACACTGTGTTATGTTCATGGCACCTTCTGAGTGAAGCATTTCTCCACGAGGAAGAACTTGATTTCAACCAACCATGAGGTGCTACTGTGAAACATTTATTTACTGAATAGCTTTCAGGTCAAAGTTAAATCGTTAAATAGTACAAAGAAATGCAGACATAACTCAGTGTTTTATTAGAATTCATTGTTTATCTTGAGTAATTACTGCTAAACATAGCCTAGGTTTTGGATCAGAGTTAAAAGAAATCGCTCTTTTGAAAATGCGTTAGATAAACCTGCACTGGAATTTTTAGTGTTGAAAGGGAGACTGGGTGAAAGCTACTTTTATTAGCTTTTTTATTTAAAAATATTTGCAGGTTTGAGGGCAGTAGAGAAGGGGTTAGGGAGTATAAATCTTATTATATGATGTTCACTAAGTTTCAGTGTATTTTACAGGTTGTTTTGCAAAAACTCTTGTAGAGCATGTTGGTATGAAGAACCTGAAGTCCTGGGCTAGTGTAAATCGAGGTGCCATTATTCTTTCTAGGTATGTATATCGTGTGCCCTTCTCTGAGCAGGGCCTGGTCATGCAGAAGACATACTTCCTTCACATTGATTTCTCAGTTCTAATATTTGTTCTCAGTTGTCTAGTATTACTTCCAGTCAGTCATGGTCTAGACAAGCATACCAAATATTAGAAAGCAAATGTAACTCTTTCAGTCAGTCCTTAGAATTTTTTTTTTTTTTTTTTTTGAGACGCCATCTCACTCTGTCACCCAGGCTGGAGTACAATGTCACAATCTCAGCTCACTGCAGCCTCAACCTCCTGGGCTCAAGTTTTCCTCCCACCTCAGCCTCCTGTGTAGCTGAGACTACAGGCGCATGCCACCACACCCAGCTATTTTTTTATTTTTTTATTTTTTGTAGAGATGGAGGTCTCCCCATGTTGCCTGGGCTGATCTCAGACTCTTAGGCTCAAGCAATCCTCCCATCTTCATCTTCCAAAGTGCTGGGATTACAGGCATGAGCCATTGTGCCTGGCCCTTAGGATTTTTTAACTACCATCTTTTTGACAAATTATAACATTCACAAGATATCAGGTGGCTTCACCATGTTTATGGTTTTGACAAAAACATAATTTTTTTTTTTTTTTTGAGACGGAGTCTCGCACTGTCGCCCAAGCTGGAGTGCAGTGGTGTGATCTCGGCTCACTACCAGCTCTGCCTCCTGGGTTCATGCCATTCTCTTGCCTCAGCCTCCCAAGTAGCTGGCACTGCAGGTGCCCGCCACTATGCCAGGCTAATTTTTTATATTTTTAGTAGAGACATGGTTTCACTGTGTTAGCCAGGATGGTCTCAATCTCCTGACCTCGTGATCCGTCCACCTTGGCCTCCCAAAGTGCTGGGATTATAGGCGTGAGCCACCATGCCCAGCTTGTATTTTTTTTAATGAATAACTTATGTCCCTGTGAAAACTGTGACAATGTTGGTTCTTAAGTCATGCCTAATTCTACATGTAATTTCCTTCATTGTTTTAAAAGATTCTAAAAGGATTGGAAGAGCATTTGCTACTGAAGTCTGTATGCTAATTGTTGATATCTGACTTAAAATGAGAAAAAAACAGTGATGAACTGTGGCCTGTTTTGTATTATTCTCTGAACTTAGTTGAGTTTATAATCAATCCACAAGTCATTGAAATTTTCCAAACATTCCATGTGCAGATGAAAACCTTCTGTTAAGAGCATTCATTTAAAGAAAGATTTGTATGTTGCTTTGAAGCAATTACTGTTGATTTTTCCCCTGCTGTGTTATTAAGGTTTGGGAAAACAGATACCAACTCTAGTTTGAATTTCTCAAGATATTTCACTTGTAACATGCTATGCAACTTAATTTATATTGTTTGCAAGTGTTATTTTAAATGTTTCTTCAACATATACCTGATCTGGTACACATATACTCACAAACACACGCAGGAGCGTTCATATCTTCAGGTATGTCAGTGTCTCCCAATATGTAAGTGTTACAGATCATTTTGTTCATTTCTGCTTAAAATTAGTTAATTTTCCAGTTGATGTCAAATGGTCAGAATTCATTAGCTGATACATGAACTTTTTTGTTACACATTCTTTTACCAGGCATTTGGAGTATTAACATCTACTGACACATTCTTTCTTTACACTCAATTAACTGGAAATTTCAGCAATGCCATGAAATTAATTTATAAAGGATGTTCATCAATCAGAACTCCCATTAGGTGAATTTCAAACATAGGAAGGATACTATAGGTTTATTATGGAGCACTACTTAGAATTGGAACAGGAGCACAGGAAATATTTGAAGTTCTAGATGGAAGTTGAGCTATATATAACAATAATACAAAAAATTGTTTTTTTAAATTTTAGGTGAAAAGAAAATCAGCCTTGTATGTTGGCTGAAAAGTAATTCAGAGAAGCAGAATTCTCTAACATTTGGGAGTATTGGCTCTTGACAGACTGCCTGGGTTCCAGCTTCGTGCATAGCCTTGGGAAAATTCAGCTTTCGCTTTCCTGGGCCTTAATTTTCTTGGTGGCAAAAAAATGAGATTAATCATAACCCTATGGTTGTTATGAAAACTAGATTGGAATGATGCATATAAAATGCCTAGTATTATGTCTAATATGTGGCATATACTTAGTAAGCAATAACTATTATGTGTTATATAACTGTGTGTTTAGCCAAGATGCATGAAATTAAAACACCTAGTGAGTCACAAATTCATTACAAGGGAACTTTACTTTTTAGCGTCATAGGTGGCAAGCTGAATTTGTTGCTTGTCTTCCAGAAGCAGTAGAATACTGCTTGGTGCTGATCATTTATCCTCCTCTTTATTGACATAATGGAAGTTACTGGGAGCAGGGACTTTGGAAAATACCAAGTACCTCATTTCTAGAATGTGTTTCAGAGGTCCGTATTTACATATGGTCCTGAAAAAGAAGAGAACAGGAAATTCAGGCCTGGTGCTCTGCAGTCAGAGCTGTACGTCCTATTCACAGAGAAATGGGCCTGCTGTTACCAGCGTCTAGGGCTCCCTTCACTTTTCATAGGGTACTCTGGCAGGGTTTCAGAAAGCAGAGGCTGGGGTTATTTTGTTGAATGGCTAACGTTTATTGAGTGCTTACTAAGTGTCAGGCTCTGGCTGGGAGCTTTAGATACAAGGCCATTTGAACCTCAGAAAACAACTCTGTGAGGTAGAAGGTGGACTCTGCTGTGAATCCCATTCTACAGTCGGGAAACTGAGTCTTAAGAGAGTTTAAATAGCGTGCTCTTGGTTGTACAGTTACTGAGTGGTAGAGGCAGGTTTCACACCCAAGCAGTGAAGCTCCACAATGAAGCTCTTCGCCCCTTCACTAAACGTTAGTGCTGTGGAGTTCAGTGAGAAGGCTGCTAACTCTGACCTCTCTGTGCCTCTCTTCACACATTTTCATTCAGCCATGTGGTGGGCATTTTTTGGCTGTCTGCTCTATAAATGTAGCATCATGAAGTAAATAAAATATGGTTCCTGCTCTTGAGCTTATAATCCTGAGATGGGGAAGGGAAGATAGAATACATGTAGAATCATTTTAAGACGGATGTAAGTAAGTCCTAAGATAATGTGAAGGTAGAGCCAACTCTGTATGGAATGCTGTTGGTCCTGCAAATGTCTTTGCTTGGGTGACTCCACCAGCAAGATTCTAAAACATTTTTTTCCATGGTTTTATAATATAAGCTACTGGTCCTCATCATTCATCCTTTGAATGAAAAATAATGTGTATATAGTTACAAGGCTTGTCTCAAACCAAGTCTTTTATACTATTGGTACAGGTAGTATTGGAGATGATGTAGGAGTTCTTATGAAATTTAATTTTTTTCCTCTCTTCAGCCTCCTTCAGAGTTGTGACCTAGAAGTTGCAAACAAAGTCAGCGCTGCACTGAAAAGCTTGATTCCTACATTGGAAAAAAACAAAAGCACCAGCAAAGGAATAGAAACTCTACTTGAAAAACTGAGCACATAGGTGGAAAGAGTTAAAAGCAAGATGGAATCATTTTTTTCTGTTCTCTGTTCTGTTTCCCAATGCAGAAAAGAAGGGGTAGGATCCACCATACTGGTAATTGGGGTGCTCTGTATATGTGTTTCTTCTTTGTATACGAATCTATTTATATAAATTGTTTTTTAAAATGGTCTTTTTCAAAAATCTCAGCTGTCTCCTCTGTTACATCGAGTAGTAAGCATATCAATGTGTGAGGCAATTAATGTGGAAGGTTTACCAATCATATGTGGTGGGACCAACCAAATATATAAAGTGTAGTTGAACGAGTTGATTCAGGGGAGAAGACATCTTCAGTGAGCATAGTCTCAGAAGGCTTCCTGGAGAAGGTGGGACTTGAGAAGACGTTCATCTTGTCAAAGGAAGGCAGGATGTGGAAAAGAAGAGCCAGGGGGAGTCGTGGGCACAGTAAAGTGGAATTTAATGAGTACCGGGGGAGTGGGGGGTCCACAGCTGCCTTCCTAGCTGTCTTATGGATTAGGTTCCATGCTAGATTTTGTTTGAAAGCCACTCAGGTAAGTTCAGCTCATAGGAGGAAATGTGCTACTGGAATTTTCTGGTCTATCATGGTGAGAATGGACTCACTCCTCTCCATGCGTTAGGTATTCCACGTCCATGGTTCTGCTGCCTTCTCTGCTGCTTCCTGTTCTTCCAGATACTTGGTGCTATCTCTCACCCACTGTGGCTTCTCCTCTGTTTACTTTGTTCCTGTGAGTTTATACAATTTTATTTTTCTAGTCTTATCTTACTCTTTCTGGAAGGAAGAGAGATAAACTCAACAATGCACCATTATTAAGCAGAAGTCCACAAATGGCTTTAAACAGATTGAAAACAACCTACCTGGCTTCATGGTGATCTTCTTTTCCATGGATGAACTTAGCAGATCTGAGAATGTCTTTTATTTGAAAATTCAGCTTATTGTATTTTCAGTTTGCATCAAACCTTGCTTTTTCTAGGAATCAGCTGCTGTTAGAAGGAAGGAGAACCCCGTTTTCCCTTGAAGTCTGGTGTAATATGCATTTGCATAACAGAATAAAGGCCTCTTAGAGGAAATGGCTTCCTACCTGACCAAACTCAAAGGACTGGCTCTTGAAAACATGAGATGGCACTTCTGTTTTCTATTTCAGTGAAAATCTGAAAAAGTTACATATTAGTTTTAGCAGATTAATCACTTGTAAGATTAAGTCTGGCAAATTTATGGATATATGTATTTAGAATAATGGTTAAGAGAACGCAAGATCACAAAGCAGCAGCAGTTAGTATGGAGCCCGTAATCAAACTATTTCTAGGCCAAAATTAATGACCTAAACAAACATAAAAATTTGAGACTTGAGCTCTTGTCTTACCTTTTGATAGTGCTTAACCTAACTAAGTTTATGATCGTCCTCATCTTTTCTAAACCTAAAAACACCACCACCAAAGTGCCCCAAGTCTCCTTACTTCCCCAAATGCGTTAGTAAATTTTTTAATGAATGGCCTTAACCAAGAGATACAGTATGCTCTTTGGATTGAGTGTCTTTTATGAATAGTAACTAAATGGCTGCTCTGCATTCCAGAGTGTGCAGACAAACACTGGTTGCTATGCATGTTTGTACCCATGACAGTGCCCTGGATGCACCATGGATAACACCCTATAAAAGAACGGTGTTTGGAATATTTTTCATCCAAATGTTTTATCCAGTTTTTAAACATGGGCTCATGCCCATGGCTGAATGTAAGTGGACAGATAGAGCTGCAAAATTGTGGGAATGAGACGTTTTGGTCTATGCGCTCTTGTTCTTAGGGAGTTAATTGTACCTTGGGAGGAAATGATTAGCTCTTCGTTGTGCTTGATATGTGATAACTACTTGAGGGAAAGGTGAGAGGAGTCTGGTAAGGTCATGGGAATCATCTGACTTTACGCTCCTGATGACTATAATTAAACATAATTACTAATTTAGATATCTTAAAATGACTTCCAGATGCTTGACAACAGACTTTCCTTTTAGCTGAAAATCTTCTTGCATTTAAAACTTAGGTTCTTACTGCTATATCTACCAGTAAGCACGTACTGACTTGATGTTATCACATTTAGCAGTAGGCAGTGATAGAAAAACTGTGAATCTTAAAGACCTGTAATAGCAGGAATATCCTTTTGAAGAAACAGACAAGACATGGGTTCGGTTGTTCTTACCAGATCAATTATTTGGCCCCATTGTATTTACTCGATATCTAAGTCTAGTTCTAAATATCTTGGAATCTGCTCTTTTGGTGATAATACCCTGCCTGGCACCTTTCTGGAGGTTCCCCTCCTCCTACATTTCAGTGGCCTTTTTGGTTGGAGTGGAATTATGATTTGCCTCGACCAGTGGCATGTGACTCTGGCCTCTGAACCACAACCCTCCCTTGGCCACCGTGATTAATTAATGAAGTATACGTGTCCCATGGTAAGTTGAAGAGCATTCTGAATTTGTATCACTTTGCTTCATCATTTTGACTTCTGCACAGTTGAAAAGTCGTAAGTAGGCCAGGCACAGTGGCTCACACCTGTAATCCCAGCACTTTGGGAGCCCGAGGTGGGCGGATCATTTGAGGTCAGGAGTTCAAAACCAATCTGGCGAACACAGTGAAATCCCATCTCTACCAAAAATACAAAAATCAGCTGGGCGTGGTGGCAAGCACCCATAGTCTCAGATACTCAGGAGGCTGAGGCAGGAGAATCGCTTGAACCTGGGAGGCAGAGGTTGCAGTGAGCTGAGATCGCACCCCTGCACTTCAGCCTGGGTGACAGAACAAGACTCTGTCTCAGAAGAAAACAAAATCGTAAGTTGATCTATTATAAATCAGGGACAGCCTGTACTCTTAATACTAAGAGTAGCACCATATCAGGATCTGGCATGAGACTAAAACCAGAGCACTTACAGTTCTCTGGCTAAAACACTGTTGAATCAAGTCAGTTTCTGGAAGAAAAATGTGAAAGATGCTCTCCTTTATTCTGGGATCTCAAACTTAGACTATGACCTGGGCTGCTTGCGTGTTACTATATTTCATCAATTCTACATTTTTATTTTGCGTTTAACAAATCTTTCAGGACGTCACTTACAGTCAGTGGCATATTCGCATGACCATTGATAGGCAGCTTTTTTTCTGAGTGACAAAATAGTGTTACGTCTTAGAGTCAAAGTGTTACAGTTGGTAAAATACAGTTCCATCTTTTCCTCTCTCAAATGTTTCTCAGTCTCCACAAGCCTAGTTTGCTTTTCTGTAGTAGCTTTTCACCCCTCAAAAGTTTTCTTTATTGCTGGACCCTCCGACAGATGATCAGCGTTAGGATGAGGTGATTTCTGCCACGTAGGTCACACCCTTTTGGAAAATGAAAATCAGGTAAAATTAAAGGCAATATAAAGTAGTGGCTGGGAGCACAGGCCTGGAACCACATTTGAAGCCTGGCTCTATAGCTGGGTGATCTTTGTAAGTTACATACCCGCGCTGCTTCATTTTCATCATTTTTAAAATGAAGATAATCACACTTCGCTGTGTCTTTGTGAGGGTTAGGTTCCCCTCGAGTTTTTCCTGTAAAACATTTCAGCAGCTTCTGCCCCTACACATAGTTACAGTTATATTTTTAAACATATATTTGCTAAGAAGTCATATAAGAATACCCACAAATTCATTACCACTTTAAAATATATTATTTACAATTTTAAACATCAGCACTATACATTTGAAAAGTAGTCAAAACATGAGCCTTCATTCCCTTGGCAGCTGGTGCTTGGGCTAAAGTTGGGTTTGCAGGCTCCTTGTAATCATTTCTGCCAATATAGATTAGGAAGCAAAAGGGGAAAGTACTTAAACCAAAATGGGCTTCTTTTAAAATACAAATAACCCTGGTGGAATAGCACCACTAGCTGTTGCCTGTCATTAACGCCTTCCTGTGAAGTCTGTCAACTTGCTGAGGTAGATGGCAGAGAGGTTAACAAGGGAGTTTGGTTCTTGGGGCAGGAGAAAGGGGTGAACTGAACTCACATACCTGGCCTATTAGGTGAAGGTACAGCAGAGAAATGGGGGCTTCAAGTTGTTTGGTGGTCTTGGCATCCAGAGATGAAATTTGGGTCAGCGCCAAGGGACAAAGTGGATTAACTCCAGGTGATCGTTTTGTGGAGGAACTAGCCTTTGACTTGTTTGGGGCAACTTGGACATGATTTGGCTTCTGTCACTTGCTAGGCAGGTGATCATGGTCCTCAGTTTCCCCATCTATGAAACAAAACCACCTGCTTCGTGCGCCCTCAGTTTGCCAAGAGTTTTTTAAACCATAAGCTTCTCTACAGTGTGAGGGGTTGTTGAGAGCAGCACCACAGTGAAAGCCCTTGGTGTTTGTTATCAGAAGATCTGGCTTTGCAGATTGACCCTGGTTCTGACCAGGAATGTGGGCTGGTCACAATCTTTAGGAACCTCTATTTTCTTATTTGTGAAAATAGGGATGATACCTGAACATCTCAGGAGGCTGGGGTCAGAATCAAATAAGACCGTATGTGAAGATGCCTTGTAAAAACACTGTGTTTATGACTCCCCAGATAGATCCAAATATTCCTTGCCTTTTTTGGTTCCCAAGTCACGGGGTTGTAGTTTACAGATTATAAAGGAAAAAAAAAAAAAAAAAAAACAGACAAAAACAAAAAAGCTCTACTACCATTAAGTAAACCAAAGCCTAGAAATAAAGCAAAAAGATGTGTCCCATTTAAAGACATGCTAGGGCATGGTCTGCAAAACCACAGGGCTGTTTGACTTTCTGGAGGGGTGTGATTTTGTTTGACTTGCTATTCTGTTAGGGCCCAGACTCTGGGAAGGAGGATAATGCTGAGTAGAATGTCAGTAAATTGCAAATGATTTCTGCCCAATAGTAGAGACAACACCAGAAATTACAGTATTGCCCTATTTATTACCTGGTGTTAATCTAACTGCAATCTTATTCCAGTAGACTTTTCTTGAAATGGACATACAGAAAAATGTACATATATAACACAGTCCACTGTATCCTCCTTTGAACTAGTTTTACTAGTCTCATGAATGAGTTACGTAAATATTTGACATATATTTTTGTGAGAACCATGTTTTTAATATTCTAACATCACAAAGTAGCCGTTTGTTTCTTTATTTCACTTTAGAGG